GGAGCTCCCTTCTGGGCGGTGCTGTTCTTCACCATGCTGCTCTCCCTGGGTCTGGGCTCCCAGATCGGCATCCTGGAGGGCATGCTCTGCACCCTGTTCGACATAGACATTATCAAGCGGATTAAGAAACAACATGTCACTGGTGTGGTGTGCCTCTTCTGCTTTATTGTGGGTTTCATCTTCTGCACAGGAGCTGGCGAGTACTGGCTCAAGATGTTTGACTCCTTCGCCGGCACCATTGGATTGGTAGTGGTTGCCCTCATGGAGATGATAGCAGTGATCTTTATCTATGGACATGAGCGGTAAGATGGGAGTGCTTTCTGTTCTTGGAGAGTCTTAAAGGGGTCCCCTCTTTTACAGCTTCACCGAGGACATTTACCAGATGACAGGCTACCGACCTGGTCTCTACTGGCAGTGGACCTGGAGGTACATTGGCCCTGTTATTATGGTGTGCATTCTGGCCTCCTCCATAATCTTCATGGTCATCAGGAATCCCACATATGGAGCTTGGAATGCCGACTTGGTGAGTTAATATATCAAGGTTTCTCATTAATTTGAATCCCAATGTTATTCTTTGTTCCTTTACCAGGGCATGATTGAGCAAAAGGACTATCCCAACTGGGTGATGGGCATTGCTCTGGCCATGATCTTGGCCGGCGTCCTGCCCATGCCCATTGTGTTCCTCATGCGCAGCTTCCAGTGCCTGAAGGTGGACCTGGACATCCACCAGGGATCGATCCGGCGCAACGAGACAACTGCCTCCACCAAGGAGATGATTGACAACGATGATGATGTAAGTGAGCACCCCGATCGAGATCGAGATCGAGATCGACTTGATCTGGACTTGGGCCTTCTTTGTGCCATTCGTTGTGTTGTTAGGCTAAGTTAATACTAAGCTCATCTCTCTCTATCTCTCTGGTCTTTACGTGTGACTAATTGTGTCTTTCTCTCACCTAACGATCCACTCCTCACTCTTGCGCTTGCTCCTCCTATCTGACAATGCTTACATCCAAATACCGATCTAATATCGATTGCATAACCAAAACTCACGCCCATTGTTCAGAACATGAGTCCGGATATGCCACCGCAAGATTCACTAGCGGCGACACGCTTCACAATTGGAGACTTTGAAGTAAGTTGTGTCCCTCTAGAAAGGATAGAAGAGGTCCACCCCGAGTCACCTCCTGCACACACTAACGCTAATCACACAATTCTCTGCTCTTCTTCCCCTCTGCTCCCGCTCATTGGTCAATGTATTTAGAATTAGAACGAACCGAAATCCTGGAGTGACGTACTTAAGGGCAGCGCCAATTTTTAACAGAAAAAAAACACACACACACAGAAAACCAAACCAGACACTAGGATAAGCCCGAAACACTCAAAAGAAACACTCAGAAAAACGTTTGGACAGTGCTAAATTCCACGCGTCAACTCAAGTAGAAACCAAGTGCTCATCCATCAGTTAGCAAGCAATTACCTGTACTCAAAACACCAAAGAACTAATCAACGCACAGCAAATACTCTTAGTTAGTCAACTAAAACCGAACTAAGTTTAGCCAAGATGCTCTTTTAAACCGATTGAAAAAGGAAAGCTGAAAAGGCCAGAACAATTATTTACCAGAGGGTTAGGTTTAGTTTTAGGGAAAAGACTAGCGAATCGCTTGTGTGTGCTTGAACCTAGGGCCATGAGTGTACTACTATATACATATATCTCATATATCGAATTGGCGGCTGATCGAGGCCCATATACAGGTAAAGTAACCCCCTGCGAGTCGTCGATTTTTCCATTTACATTTCGTTTGTTGGTTTGTTCGTTCGTTTGTTCATTGTTTTCGATGTTTTTACCCGAAAAGAACAGGCTACAGACCCTGTATTTTTACTGTAACTTAACTTTTCCTACATTTTACTTGACTTTACTCTATGTTTATTTGGTTGTATTGTACATTTTATTGCCTCTGGGAGCCACCTGCCGGCCATGTAGAGAGCTTTCGCTTGGGCTTGTGTAGAATATCAAGTATACGCAGCGTGGTGTCAGCCCATTTGATTTATGTTTTATCATTTATTCGTAAGCAACTCTTGATTTCCTAGAGGACTTTCCTTTTGCTATCATAAATATCCGACTCGTTATCATTTGTTTGGTCTCCTCTATCCCTTTAGGAGGACGAGGAGGACGACGAGAACGATTTCAGCGGTCCGGCGCTGGGCGGACATGTGAAGACGCAAAGCGACTTCTCCGACGACGAGGAGGAGGACAAGCCCATGACCATGCGGATGATGATGATGCGTCCGACGACGACCGCCAAGACAGCGAATGTGCTGAATGTGCCAACCAGCAGAAAGCCCAACTTCAAGAAGGAGGCGTACGATGTGTAGAGCAGCCGCAGTCCCCCAGGTACAAGATACAGGTAGAGTCCAGGTGCGAACCGAAACGATATGGCAAGTGAAACCTACTATAGTTGAGACGACGGGAGCGCAAAACACATTTATAAATATTTACTCTAAGTATTTTAACATAATTTAAAGCTAAACTAAGTGATTACCGATTACCAGAATAAACGACCGGAGGAGCTAATTGAATTCACGTTCGAGTAACTAAAATTGTTGAAAACTGATCTAAGCCCAAAACTAAACTAAATTTAAACAAACTATGTACGAGTACAATGAGAAATTCATTAACTGACACGGGTTGCAAAAGGTTTAAATTTCGATTATGTAGCATTTAGTTGGAATGCTTTAAGCTTTACAATTAGACACTCGAGCACACAAACTGAAAGTATTTCTCAGTATCCAAGCCCCACTCCTGCCCAAATGCCCTTCCTTTCACATCCCGAATTCCTACCCTATCCCGACCCCCAACTCCCACAAATACACTACTATGGCAAACGCTTTTTAGTCGACTTAGCCAGCGCATTTCCAACGAGTTAAACTCAACAATTAGTTCTAGTTCTAGTAGGGTATCTGCCATTATAATTTTGACTTCAAGTGCGAGTATATATGTAATCTAAACCGAGTTACACACTTTAAACTTACTTCAAACAGGTTAAGTGCGTTGAGACACCCTATTAACACTTCGAGTTCTAGTTGAGTTGAACAAAACTACCTATACTTATACTATACTTATTGATTAGACAAAGATACATGGAATGTGTGATATTCTAAATAATATCCTCAAAGCTTAGGTCTTAAGAGTCTTCATCCTGAATCAGTCCAACCCCCAGCCCAGCTCCAGCTCCCAACTCTGTTCCCCCCGCCCCATTCAAGAGTATTTTCCTAAGCCGACACTGAACTAAGCAAAATGGAAACAAAAACAAGTAAATAAACTGCTGTGAATAGTTTTAGTGGTTGTAAAGTTCTATCGAAGAAGGGAAACCATAAAGCGTCTAATATTTAACTAGTTATTAAGTCGCACCCAACATTGTTCACCCCCTGAGTTGGTCCCACCACGAGTCCTTGCCGCATTTCCAAATTCGGTTTCTGCAAATGGTTTTCACACACACTCCTCCCAGCAACTTTCTCTCATTTTGGTTAAGGCAAGGCACCACTAATTTCCGATTTCCCATATCTGATATCTGATATCTGATATCTGAGAGGTGACAACTGAATCAAAACACATGGAATTTCAAAGTACTCAAAGTCAATGCTAAGGACAAAGGACGGCAGAACGTCGAAGACAATAAGACAATTATAGGAAAAATACTTATGAAACGGCCCCGTCGAGTTTAGAGAGATTTGTAGTCCCCGACGCAGGGGAACCTTTCCACTTGAACCCCTTATTTTTGGGATCCGTTTTGTACACCAGAGACAGCCGATAGTTAGCCGATTTGTACGTACATTTTAATGACTGTAACTGTAAAGACAGAGAGCATTAGTTCACCTCCGCCAGCCAGCCACTCATCCACTCAAGAATCCAAGAATCCTCGCAATGGCAAACAAACGCTACCAAAACCGAAACCGAAACCAAATACATAGTACCAAGCCTAAGTGTATAGTTTACTTGTTTACGCCACTATATATACGAGCATAAATCTATATATATATACACAGTACATATTAATCTATATACCTAGCTCTACCATAATTATGATATATCAATTATTGTCGTAGTGCTAAAGCCCCGAGAGAGATGTGTAAATTTGAATGTATTAAATAAACATAAACAGAGACACTGCAAAGAGAAGAATACTTATATGAAACATTATTGTACCGTACGCAAGAAATTATTATTAATAAAGATATTTCAAGATTTAGAGTGTTAAGTTGAAGAAGAGCAAAACGAAGCAAGAGTTTCATTACTTTACTTAAGGGTTTCTCTGGGGAGGCTCTACTGTTTTTCCGCTGGCACGTTTAACGTTTGGCAGACCCATCTGCAGTTTGGACAATCCGCATTTATTGGATTTTGATAGACGACACAATGTTTTGTATTCGTTTGGCTGCCCCCTTGGTCAAAGCACCTTGGACCGAGACTAAGAATCCCCGATTGCGCTTATCACCCAGGGGAAAGTTTCAGTTTGTTTTGTTTTCTTGCTTAAAGGAAACATATCATTGGGGGCAAGTCAGGCCCCTTAAGGGACTTCGGATTCCCAGTTTCCAGTGCACCGAGGCAAGAGTTTTCCCTTGGGCTGACTTTGGCGGGATTGGCCATTTGGATTGCTCTTTTTTTATTGGCAACAAGCATCGTAAATGGCATTGGTCTATAAATATGCTAACACAGGTAAAACGATAATGACCACCGGCTGGAAGCCACGTTCGATATGGCTGAAATGATAAGCCAAATGCAGGGGGGGAGAGACAAATCAATTTGTTAAAACACCGCACTCGGAATAAAAATAAACCGAGTAAATGGGTTTTTAAGAAGATGACTTTCTGAGAATACCTTTATTTTAGTTTATATAATTTGAAAAGTATTATAAAGTAGTATATATTCGTAAAGAAAAATAAGAGTTTATTGGGGAAATTGATAAGCATTGGAATTGTCACCTTTAAGCCTATTTTATTTGTCAGTTAAGTGTGTTCTAAGATGCTTTCATAATATGCTTTCTCTGAATATATATACCCAGATTGTATACTGGAATACCGCATTAATTTATGTTTAAAATACTCATATTTTCAAAACAATATTTGCTGAATTTTACCTTTCTCCTTGAGACTTTTATTTCTTTATAGCTTTTTACATTGATTCGATTTATTTTTTTTGCTTTCTTTTTCATGCACTTGTTTCTCTACGTGTAGACACAGATCAGCGATGGCGTAACCTGTGTGATAAGAGCCACCGTCGCAGACATTGCAAAAGTCACCCGTGGACCGGTTGTGAGGCATGCTGCTCCGCTCCAGGGGGGCGTGGCCTGGCCAAAGACTCCTCTGGATTCCTCCTGAGCTTTCCCAGCCGCCGGGTGACTATGCAGTGGGCGGCACGTAGCCCGTGGCAAGTGCAGCAGCAGCAACAGTCGAGTCGCGTTGCGTCTTATCTTATCGGAGCGACACTACTCTGCGTGTGCCCCAGCCATGAGAACCGAATCGAAACCGAATTCGAGGGGCAATCAGATCGGACAATGTGAGAGCTAGGGAGCGGGAGCAGAGACCCAACCGAAAAGGCAAAATGCTCGACTGGGCGCGCACACATGTTACTTGAGCGCAGCGAGGGCCGCATGAAGTCAGTTTGGCTCGTTGTGCCAGAGCAGCAACAAGTGCCCGCTATATCTCAATCCGAATCCGAATCCGAGTCCGAGTGGTGGTATCTGCATCTGCATCTTAGTATCTGAATCCGAGCGCGACTCTGAAACTTAAGACGAAACCGAAGCTGAAGCTGAAGCTGAATCTGAAGCGCCTCAAGTGCTCTAGAGAGTTCCAGGCTCACTCAATTGGCGAAAAGTGCATTTGGCGCTGCTAAATAAATTCAAATTAAGTCGGCAATTTCATCACATTAACAGCGGAGGGCCAAGCGGAACGGAAAGGAGAGCGATAAATTAATTAAGGCGGAGATAAAATTGCAACTGCGCCAAGAAAGTGAAAGCGACCGCAGTCGCCGCTGCCAGGTGACAGAATGCTGCTCAGGGGCGCACAGCTGCTGGGATGCGGGTGAGTCCGATGGCATTCTATGGGATTCCCACAAGGTGGTGTATTGACAGGTTCAATGGGTGGCACAGTCGTAACTAGCAAGAGGTTCGAATGCGAGATACCCTATAGCTGAGAGGGAAGCCAATTTGCTTTGGGTAGAATTGCAGTCTTTATATCTTTTATCAATAATATTTTATTATATAGGTCTTTTCATCTTAAAAATTATATTATATTATCTTAAAAAAGAACATAAATAATAGTTCTTCAAGGTTCTTACTTCAAATACCCCCTAGCTCACAAGATAACCACAAACACTTTCAGATATAATTATTTCAATCAACTAATAATCAGTTCTAACATAATAATTTTATAAGAAATTCGGTATTTTGGGACATCAATCTAATCTAAGGAAAGTGGAATTCATAAAATGTAAACAGCTCTTATCACTCTTATGGGGGAACATATTAATTCAAATTGTTTATAATCACAATTGCTTAGCTTATTTAATTGAAAGTACAGTAAAGTAATTATGCTGAGTACATTCGTGTAAGATCACATTATAATTAACCCTTAGAGAAAGACATCTGGAATGGAAAAACCATGTCTAATAAATAATAAATGTCATAACAAAAAAACTCTGAGGTTGATTATTTAATATTTGCCTGTAGAATACTCAGAACTGTGTTAATATAATTGAGTAGATAGAAAGCACTCAGAGAAATGGGGTATTTCTTTTAATCTATATTTATTAATTACTTTTGTTAATTGAGCAATTTTTCATTATATGTGAAAATCAGGGTCATATAATTATTTTTGTTATGAAAAGTTGAATTTTATAAAATATGTAAACAAATAAATATAAATATAATTTTGTTTCATATTCGAAAGAACTTTTCTACAGCGTTCTTGTAACTTATATACATTCAAAACCCAAATTAAAGGGTATTAAAATACCAATTAGTTGGCATTGTGTGGTCTGGTTGGCTTACAAGCTCTAAGGTAAATCCAGCATTAGTATTCATTAGTAACTAACCTACCCCAACTAAGATTGGTTACGACTAGTTTCTGATTCAATCCAATCGTGTGTGGCGGGAAAATTCCACACAATTCTGTTACACTTTCATTCACGCCGTAAACAAGCAGCAGTACTTACTATAATCATCTGCCGCCCATCAATGTTAATGTCACTCGTAGCACCAAGATCATTGCACTCGCTTCGCTCTCAGCTTCTGAAGCTAAATATATGTATACAAGTGTGGAAATTTACTTAATCTCTCAGTTTGATGGGTTGTATTCCTCTTGGATGCTCTACTAAAGCTTAATTTTAGTTATTTTCATTAAATTATTTAAATGTATAAAATCGTTGACTTAGTATTTATTGATTTGTTCAAGATAAATGTTATTTAATAACAATTAATACTTGTTTTTGTAATGTTTCTCTCTTATCTTTGCTGAGCACTTCCTGATAAGCCTTCGCATCTTTGTGTTGCCTACTTTCCGGCGATGGGTGAGTGACCAAAGCCATAGAAGTTCTTATTTAGCGCCTAGGCTTATGCAGCACTTGGCTCTAACAACTTTTGTTCAATGAAAAGCTTTCCGCATTCCCGCCTTTTCCTTTGTTCGGTCTTTATCAGTGCCCACCTCTTGTTTTTATTTTTTCTTTTGGTGTTTATTATTTTTGTAGTTTTGTTTTGACTCGTTTTCTTCAATGTGTGAGTGTGTGAGTGCGTTTGATCAAGTTGTTCGACTGGCTCTGCCTCTCTTTTGCTTGTGTGTTAGGTTGGGTGTGTGTGTGAGGCCATTAGGCGTAATCAAGCAAAAAAATAAAAACAATGCATTGCATGTATGGGTTTTTGAGGCCGCCTAGCAACAAGATACTTGAATCTTTGTTCCCCGCCTGTTGAATGTTTTTATTTTTTGGCTTCTGTTTTGCTAAGGTGGCGTGTTTTGGCCATCATCAGAGGAGAGAGGAATGGGGAGAGACAGTTGTTAAAAAAGCCACTAAAAGGCAAAGTCATAGCTCATCGGCAGCCGTTAATTTTCCCCAGGTATCCCTAAGATACTTGTATCTTTAGCTGTTGTTTCAAGCTCCAAGTAGCTCCAAGTATCTCCCTAGTATCTCCCAGCTGCTGGCTGCCATTGATGATAACCTTTAGACACAGCGACGACAGACAACGACGACGAACGTTGAAGACAACAAAAATATTGTTGTTGACACCAAAGCTATTTCTTTTATATTTTTTTCCTCTCTTTTTTTTCAGGCCGAGCCCCCCATAGCAAAATTTTTGCCATAACACAAATAGCATTACTTATGCATGGCAGGAATCAAAACAATTCACTTAAATGTAATTGTTTGGTGGATTTTAGCATGTTATTTCTGCTTATCGGTTAGAGCCAGGGGCACGCGCCTTTTCCCAAGGTCCCATCGATCAGTGATTTATATGAGAATTATAGGTAACACGGTTCGCCTATCAGTTAATGGTTTGTTTACCACATATTCCCAGAATTTCCAGAAACTGCTGATTGATAAAATTGCCCCACCCTTTGCATTTGATTTGCATTTCTGTTGATTTGTAATGAAGTGAGTCAACCCCATTGATCAAATAGACTCTAAACCAAATTACCTGCAGAGTACTTCCTCCATGTAATTCATGAAACTAGACCAGACTAGACTAGACCATTACCTTATACACCATAGAGCAATTCGCGGAACACTTTAATCTACAAATATGTGGAATATACGAGGTTTCCTGTGTGGGAAGCGTGGGCTGTCTGGGACTAGCTTATCAGTCGGTAAACAAAATACGAAATTAGCTGGACTTTGATATGCGGTAATGAGCCCGCTCTATATGTGTATAAACTATCCTCCAGACTGGATCCAATAATTACCAGTTCCGACTGGGTTTTCTGCTATAATTTCTGCGTAGTTTATTGATGAAAGGAATTCGTCAGCACCATTAATTCCTATAGAGAACCAAGGCAGGGAATTACTCACGGGTTCTTTTGTTATTTTTAAAAATATATACATCTATTTTTTATAAATAAAGTTCATAGGAATCTAGACAAAGTGTGCAAATGACGCCCATCATAATCTGGCTAGTGGAAAACTTTTTCAATTCTATCAAGTGATAGTGCAGTTTCCCCCTCTAAACAAAATCCGCGTCATTACATTGTGAATAATAAATAACAATTAAGGAAGCGTCACTTTAATTCTGACGAAATAACAAGCGCATGGGAATAAGTGTTTCATATTGCACTTTATTAAATGAAAAAGAAAAACTTTTCTCTTGGGTCTCTTGGATCCTCCGGCTGATAAGCCGCAGATTGGGGCTGCCCTTCGCCTCCATTTGATAGTCGATGCAAGGCGTAGGGCCAAGGCTAATGAACCCTCTTATTTTACTGATGGAACCAGTTTCGTTTATTTCATCAGGCTGCAAAGTACAGTTTCGAGGTTTTTCGGGAAAATGTATGTAGTTGAATCAGCTGACACCCCCATGACTGTTGCCAAGCGTTTTTGGGGGAAAATTCTGTATCACTACAAGTACTATTTATAAACCGATATGTTCTTTTTCCATATAAAAAACACACATACACATTCAAGAAACACGCGCTGGCTGAAAATTCAACTTATTTTTACGCGTCTTTTTGCAATAAAAAATACAAGAAAATAGGTAAACAGAAAAAATGAGGAAAAAACAAGCAATGAAGTCGACGAAACTGGAAGTACACTATGTCATCGGTTAAAAATTATGTTTTACATGTGAATATTTTTGGTTAAAATTATTACTATGGGCTATCATTATTATTGTCTGAGGCCATACGTATCTGTAATATAAAGCTGGAAATATGTAACTTTTCATTATTAGTATTATTTCTTTTTATAGTTTAATTACCAATTTGTTTGCCTAGGGTATCTCTGAGTGCCAAAATAAAATGTGATCTTCGCTTGGTGGTCAGCATTCGTGGCGTCATTGGGACGAAACTTTGAAGAGACTCGGAGAAAGGGGGCTATATATAGTATATTAAGTATACGCAGTAGTTGCCATTTCAAAAGGCCAAGAGACATTCTCTGTTATCTCCCGAAAATAGCATCGAATACGCAGCAATTTCAGCTTCCAATTCTGGCGCGTGGCCCTAATCAAAGAGGCGCTGGGACAATTCGAGTGCTGTTCAAATAATTAGCTTAGCTGCCGCCTCTTTTCCGCTTCTAGTTGATAGTCCAGTTCAGTGAATTCAGTGGGATTTGGAATAAAGCGGTTATCGATGCCACCATAAATATTGTGACCGATTATTTGACTAGCAATCCATGCCACAGATCCGGCATTAACTACACAACTCCTCCGCCCACCCTTCTATAGTTACACTTAATAACCAGCAGATAAAAGCCAGACGAAAGCCACAAAACCCCTAATAATAAAAGCCAGCCCAGAACTGGCTTAATATGATTGAATTAAATTTTAATTTTCACTTAATTTGGCGGCTTAATTGGCCATCTTTGGTTGTATATTTATATCAAAGCGAAGCCTAGTCGAGACATCGCTTTCGGTTTTATCATTCACCTCACATGCCCCGAGCATGCAGACGACAGCTTATGCTAATATAAACCAGGCCAGATTGCTCCGATACATATGTATATATACCCTCATCTGTGGAGCGTGTGTGGCGGAGAAAACTGCGCAGTTCCAAAATAAATGTATATAAAACATACATTAATTTTGGGGTATTTCTGCGGTTCAGACACTCTTGTGACGTCACAATTGGGGCAACCCTGACAACGCGTGTAAATGATAATTCCGTTGGACTTTGGACTCCCTGTAAGCAGTCGTCTGGGTCAGAGATATCCCACGGATCACTGGTCATAGTCTGCCGGAAGCGAGGGTTACACCTATCGGTGTGTACTTGGTGGCATCTACCTGCTGCCCCTGAATCTCTTATCTGCTGCAGACCAAACCAAAACAAACCAAAGACCTGAAAAGATGATGAAAGATTGCATCATGCTGCCACCGGGGAACGGGAAACGGGGAAATCTCGACGGCGGGGAACCCGCTTCTAATGAAAGTGACGTGGACACCACCAAGTGGCACCAATACGACGAAGGTTGGAGTTGGATCCCCATCCCCAGTCCCCATCTTTGCGAATTGCCCACATAGCAAGTTTCTCGAGTTTTTTTTTTTTTTTTATTGGAGTGGAACTCTCGAAACCAGACCGACCAGACGAACAGCTGATCAGCCAGTTTGGCCGTCTGTCTCTTGCCTTTTATTTGTATTTCAGTACCTAAGTATCTCGGTATCTCGGCATCGGTGTATCGCTTGTATCTGTGTATCTTTTCCAGCGGTGGCGGTGCGTTACCGCTTAGAATTTCAAATTCACGTAACGAGGCCCATGCCGGTGGTACAGTTGTGCTTGGTTGAGGTAGTTAACTGTACGATGACGATAAGACATGTCGATAGATAGAGTATGGGAAAGGGTCTGTTGATAAGTACTAGGTAGCCAAGAGAAAGTGAGGGGAAGATCAGAACCCACTCCTACCTGACGGTATATGTCAGTATCTTAACCTAGGTTAATAATAAAAACAAATAAAATTAAATATGTAATAAATAAACAAAGATGTTGCCCTAGTTAAATTCTATACTTTCTCTGTATCCCCTTTCAGCCTGGTCTCCCCAGCCGCCCGAAGCTTCAACTTCCGGCTGACCTGCCGCTTCCTGTCCGTTCATTATGGAGACGCCAAGGTACTCACCCCCGCCGTCAAGCAGTATGTGGAAAAGTGTGTGGATCTCTGCAAACCAGAGCGAGTGCACATCTGCGATGGCACTCCTGGCGAGAGCAAGTTGCTCCAGGGACTCATGCTGAAGCAGGGAACCATCCTGCCGCTGCCCAAGTACGATAACTGTTGGCTCGCCCGCACCAATCCGGCGGATGTGGCCCGTGTGGAGTCCAAGACATTCATCTCCACCGCCAGCAAGGAGCAGACGGTCCCGGTGACGGAGAAGGCCACTCCGGGTATGCTGGGCAATTGGATTTCCGAGAAGGATCTGCAGGCGTCCATCGCCGAGCGCTTCCCCGGCTGCATGAAGGGACGCACCATGTACGTCATACCCTTCAGCATGGGCCCCGTGGGTTCGCCTCTCTCCAAGATCGGCATTGAGATCACCGACTCCCCTTATGTAGTCGAGTCTATGAAGATCATGACGAGGGCGGGCCAGCCCGTGCTGGAGTTCCTCCAAAGCGGAGATGGTCAGTTTGTCAAGTGCCTGCACTCGGTGGGCACTCCCAAGAGCGGTGTCCAGGCCCAAGCATCCTGGCCCTGCGATCCCGAACGCACCATCATCCTGCACAAGCCGGCGGAGAACGAGATAGTGTCCTATGGATCGGGATACGGAGGCAATTCGCTGCTGGGCAAGAAGTGCCTCGCCCTGAGGATCGGCAGCACCATTGCCAAGCGCGAGGGCTGGCTGGCCGAGCACATGCTCATCCTGGGCATCACCAACCCACAGGGCAAGAAGATCTACGTGGCCGCTGCCTTTCCCTCCGCCTGTGGCAAGACCAATCTGGCCATGATGACGCCCACGCTGCCTGGTTACAAGGTGGAGTGTGTAGGCGACGACATCGCCTGGATGAAGTTCGACAAGAAGGGCGTCCTTCGTGCCATCAACCCGGAGAATGGCTTCTTTGGCGTGGCGCCTGGAACTTCGAGGAGCACCAACCCCATTGCCATGGACACGATATTCCGGAACTCGGTCTTCACCAATGTGGCCTCCACCTCAGACGGCGGCGTCTACTGGGAGGGCATGGAGAAGGCGCAACTGAAGGACGTGACCGTCACCGACTGGCTGGGCAAGCTCTGGTCGCCGGAGACGGGCAAGCCGGCTGCCCATCCCAACTCCCGTTTCTGTACACCGGCCGCCCAGTGTCCCATCATCGATCCCAACTGGGAGGACAGTGCCGGAGTTCCCATCTCGGCCATCCTCTTCGGCGGACGTCGTCCTGAAGGAGTTCCGTTAGTGTACGAGGCGAGGGATTGGACCCACGGGGTCTTCATGGGCGCTGCCATGAGAAGCGAGGCCACCGCCGCCGCTGAACACAAGGCCAAGACCATCATGCACGATCCCTTTGCCATGCGACCCTTCTTCGGGTACAACTTTGGTGACTACCTCGCCCACTGGCTGAGCATGGAGCAGCGCGGCCAGGTGCCCAAGATCTTCCACGTCAACTGGTTCCGCAAGAGCAGCGAAGGCAAGTTCCTGTGGCCCGGGTTCGGGGACAACTCCCGCGTCCTGGACTGGATCTTCCGGCGGGTGGAGGGTGAGCAGTGCTTCGAGGACTCACCCATTGGCCGGCTGCCAGCAAAGGACTCTCTGAACCTAAGCGGCATGGACGGTAGCATCGATCTCGAGCAGCTGTTCCAGCTGCCCAAGGACTTCTGGGAGCAGGAGGTGAGCGCCATTGAGCGCTACTTCGAGGAGCAGGTGGGCCACCACCTGCCCAGTGCGGTGGCCGAGCAGCTAAAGGAGCTGAAGGCGCGTGTGGCCGACATGTGATGTGTGTGTTCCATAGGTTACTCCCTCCTAATCTAAGACCCTATTGCCTAAAATAAAACGAAACGAAGCGAGATTTTTATAACGAAATTCGACTGTTGGTTATGGTTGGGCATCGGTATTCGGTATTCGGGATTGGGGCTTGGGCATTGGGCATTGGGGCGTGGCCTGGTCTTGGTCTCTTATCGGTGGCGGTCGGGGCGGAGGCCCGTCCACAATTGGCGTAAACAAGCGTATAAATCCATAATGCCGTTTAACCTGAGTTATCAGCAGATCGGGGCGATGGAAAACAAGCAAATAAAATGCCAAAAGAAGCCAAAAAAAAGAAACTTTATGGAACGAACTGTTTTCTTTTTCTGGCCGAGGGTTGGGTTGCCAAGGCCTGATTGCGCCTCTGGACGCGTGTGGTGTGATGTACCCTCCAAGTGATAAGAATCCAAAGAGCCAAAGAACCCCAAAAAAAGGAAAGAAAGAAACCCAAGAACCAAGGCAGAGAAAGGCTAATCCCTAGAATCCCTCGATGGATCCCAAATGGATGATGATTTTACATTGGAAATTTCCTGGTTGCAGGCACAGATCCGGGTGCTTTCGTTCTATATTTAGACGAACTCAGAGGCTCGTCCCCTGATAACCCATCGCCGGCGGCTGTCCCACAAAGCAGCCAAGCAGATCTCATATTGATTATGCATATTCACCGGCCCCTTCGATCGCTTCTATTGACGTAAATCCCTCGTAAAATTAAGCTCAACTCATCGAAATGCGCTGAGCAAGGTGCGGCGAGGTGAGAACAGGAGCGAAGCGGTGAGCACCCCAATCCAAGTCCAAGTCTGGGCTTTGCAATTAGCGGCGATGATGAAGATTATCAGGAACAACTAGAAAAACAAGTCCATAGTTTATAAATAAACCCACCGAAAAACGGGGCGACGACGCGTGTAGACGAATTCGATTAAATTCAAAAACTCGACTTGTGGCGCCAGTCGACAAAGGGAGAGGGTAAGGCAGTGCAGAGCAGAGCAGGATCCAAGGATGAGGGCCAGGTTTCCCTGGTTTCAAGGCCAATGGGCGCCCAGTCCCTTCTGGGTCTAGGCTAAGTGAGCGGTTTATGGGTATAGGAACCTGTTTTCCAACGGTCACTAAAGTCCGGTACTTGCACTGCCGGGAAAATATAAATAAAAGAGTTTCATTAAGATTAATTCAAGGGTTTAGTTTATTTATGCTGATATTTATTTGTAGTAATTTTATTTACCAGAACTTTAAGCCATGTATTAATATTCCTTATGTAAGTTAAAATATTGTTTAAGTGTTCTAAATGTTTTTATTATAGAGTATACTTGTTATTAATAATATTTACCACTTTTGAGGAAAGAACAAAATAATTATTTTTCTGTCTGAATAAAAACTATCATCTTTAAAAATTGAATTGTTTTTAATAATATGTTAAGATGTTAGAATGGTTTATATATTCATATTCTTGGCCTAAATAGTACCCATTTTATTAAAATTTTAGTTAGTAGGAATTAATTACCCAACATACATATAAAATATTTTAAAAATACACCCCGCTTTTGGACTTTAAACCCAACTATTAATTTTTGTGACATTTATTCGTGGTTAACTGGATTTTTTGGGGGCCAAAATCACACCACCAGTTGGCAGCAGCACCTTCATTTCTCCTTCCCCAGAGGAAAACACAGAGCGTGTGGCCACATGACAACCATCGGGTGGCTATTCTTGGTCCACCAAAATATAAAAAACAGTCACATGAATGCTGGCCTCCAAAACGGCCATGGCCAATTGAGGAGCAGACCGGGATCCACGAAATACAAATTTTTCCGTCACCGATTCTGCAAATAAGCGAAAGTTTTTTCGATTTGGCGAGGGTCCAAATGTGAGTGAGAGTGCGAGGGGATTGCCATGTGATGAGGTGGCGGCGTAGGAGGACGCGTGTGGAGGCCTAATGTTCAAGAGATGACCATAATGCACTAGGAAAAATTAGATACTTTAGCTACATAACAACTAAATATTTAATATTTTAATTGAATAATAGTTACAGCTACCGAAGGGAAACATAACAGACACAAATATATCCTTAAGTTGCTTGCTGCAAATTACTAATAATTAAATATCACTGAAACCATATCAAAATGAGCTTAAATCAATCAATTTTTGAGGTTATTTTTTAATGAATTGTATATTTATCTAGATTATATTATTTTTTGTTTCATTTTGGTACAATTTCCAATAGTTTCTTTCCTTCAAGTGCATGCGTTGCACATTGAGAGGCATCCAGAATGTACGCAGCTGCATTTGGCAGAGACAACTGCTGTTGCCTCAGCTGTCCGTGAACTGGTTTCTATTTTCGCCCGTCTCCTATCGCTGGCGAAAATCATAAACAAAATAATTAAATTAACAACGGGAAAGTGGCAAAATATCGGCAGAGTGTCAACATAACAACAAACGTTTGCTTTCCGCTCTTATCAATGCGAAATGCCCCTAAACGCACAAAGCTGAACAAAAACTAAGAGAGAATATAACACAACAACACCAGCCACTCACTACTGTTGCCAAGTGGGATCAGGAATATATATATGTATATATATATTGGTATGGACAAGTATATCCCCCCCAGATCCCACCGCAGATCCCCCCAATGGAACGAGAAAAACCAAAACAATCGCCGAGCCTCCGCCGACAACCAATCAGCTCGTCCGGAGTTTGACCCTCTCCCGCTCGGATCGGCTCGGAATATAGCGCTATATGACGATCGCAAGAGCCGATTGCCACCGATCGGCGGACTTGTTCTAGTCGCCTCGATGCCGAGGCGTCGGCTGGCGAGTATAAAAGGCCCCCAGCCCGGGCAGCTGGCATCAGTCACTCGTGGTCACAGTAAATGGAAAGATCAAGTGAAAAGCCTACTTTCAGTGGTCTGAAAATCAAGCTGATATTTGACAAAAAGCTGTGGAAGAACATACGGAACGAATAGTTTGCACTCGCAGAAGACAATAATTGTGATAATTAACCCACCATTTTGTGATACAAAACAAGATTTAGCCAAAGTGCCAAAAACCCTTTCACGACATCAGCAAATTAATTAGAAACTGTTGTGCAGTTTATTCCAAAGTTTTCAATTTGAAAAAAATACACAAAACACACAAGCAAAATGCCTGAGCTCATTGAACAAAGCAAAATTATGTAAGTATTTGAAAATATACCCCTTCCTCCAGGGCTTAAATGACCCAAAAATCATCTTGATTTCTTTAAGAAGCAACTTAACTAATCAACATTTTCCACAATTTCCCATTTCTCTTCAGCTCCGGCAATGTGTGCGGTCTGCCCCAGCTGCACAAGCTCCGCCAGGACAACTGCGGCCTCTACAGCCACATCCGTGGCATTCCCATCTCCTATGGCGACGCCAACTCCCTGACCACCGGAGTCCGCAGCTTCGTGGAGGAGGGCATCGCCCTGTGCCAGCCCGACCAGGTGCACATCTGCGATGGCAGCGAGCAGGAGAACAAGATGCTCATCAAGACCCTCCTGGAGGCGGGCACCATTGTGGCTCTGCCCAAGTACGACAACTGCTGGTTGGCCCGCACCAACCCAGCGGATGTGGCCCGTGTGGAGTCGAGGACCTTCATCTGCACCGATCGCAGGGAGGAAACCATTCCCACCCCTCTGGAGGGCGTCAAGGGTGCCCTGGGCAACTGGATTTCGCCCAAGGACATGGAGTCCGCGGTGCAGCAGCGCTTCCCCGGCTGCATGAAGGGCCGCACCATGTACGTGGTGCCCTTCAGCATGGGCCCCGTGGGCTCACCGCTCTCCAAGATCGGCATTGAGCTGACGGACTCCGCCTACGTGGTGGCCTCCATGAGGATCATGACCCGCATGGGTGCCGCCGTCCTGCGCCAGCTGGCCAAGAAGGAGGAGTTCGTGCGCGCCCTGCACTCGGTGGGTGCCCCTGCCAGCGGAGTGGTGGAGCAGCCCTCCTGGCCCTGCGACCCTGAGCGCACCATCATCCTGCACAAGCCCGCCGAGAACCTGATCGTGTCCTACGGATCGGGATATGGCGGCAACTCGCTGCTGGGCAAGAAGTGCTTCGCCCTCAGGATTGGCAGCACCATTGCCAAGCGCGAGGGCTGGCTGGCCGAGCACATGCTCATCCTGGGCATCACCGACCCCAAGGGCGAGAAGAAGTACATCACCGCCGCCTTCCCGTCGGCCTGCGGCAAGACCAACCTGGCCATGCTCAACCCCTCGCTGGCCAACTACAAGGTGGAGTGCGTGGGTGACGACATTGCCTGGATGAAGTTCGACTCGCAGGGAGTGCTGCGCGCCATCAACCCCGAGAACGGATTCTTTGGCGTGGCTCCCGGCACCTCAATGGAGACCAATCCCATTGCCATGAACACCGTGTTCAAGAACACCATCTTCACCAACGTGGCCTCCACCTCCGACGGTGGCGTCTTCTGGGAGGGTATGGAGAGCAGCCTGGCTCCCAATGTCCAGATCACCGACTGGCTGGGCAAGCCCTGGACCAAGGACTCGGGCAAGCCTGCTGCTCATCCCAACTCCCGCTTCTGCACCCCGGCCGCTCAGTGCCCCATCATTGATGGCGCATGGGAGGACCCAGCCGGAGTACCCATCTCCGCCATGCTGTTCGGAGGCCGCCGTCCCGCCGGAGTGCCCCTCATCTATGAGGCCCGCGACTGGACCCATGGAGTCTTCATTGGTGCCGCCATGAGAAGCGAGGCCACCGCTGCCGCCGAGCACAAGGGCAAGGTGATCATGCACGATCCCTTCGCCATGCGACCCTTCTTCGGGTACAACTTTGGTGACTATGTCGCCCACTGGCTCAGCATGGAGAAGCGCGGCCAGGTGCCCAAGATCTTCCACGTCAACTGGTTCCGCAAGAGCGCCGAGGGCAAGTTCATGTGGCCCGGATACGGCGAGAACTCGCGCGTGCTCGAGTGGATCCTGCGCAGGATCAATGGCGAGTCCTGCTTCGTGGACTCGGCCATCGGACACATTCCCTCCGAGGGCGCCCTTAACCTGGCCGGCATGAAGGAGCAGGTGGACGAGAAGGAGATCTTCTCGCTGCCCAAGGACTTCTGGTCGCAGGAGGTGAAGGAGATCCGCACCTACTTCGAGTCGCAGGTGGGCGCCGATCTGCCCGCCAGCATCTACCAGAAGCTGGACGACCTCACCGCCCGCGTGGCCAGCCTGTAAGGATCGGTCGAGGGATCGACGAGGAGCCCCCAAGCTGTCACATCTTTACCCGCCCCACAATACCTGCCCCACATACTCACCCGCCATATATCTATCTATCCTGTCCTATATCCCTATATATCCCTGCCCCCAACTTAGTCGTTTCTCTAGATCTTAAGCAGAAGACTTCCAGACTATTTATTATGTAAGCAGTTGTAAGATTAGTTATTAAACAAAACAAAAAGAAAAAACATGAAAAAATATGAAAAAATAAAACAAGATTTTATAACCCATAAAAAATAGAGTTTATTGATTCAAGCCAAGGATGGGCCAGTTTTGAACACTGTGATCGAGTTGGAAATTAGTAATGAATAATATAATTTATTGCTAATATGATTGCTAAATAATTAAACACGATCTATTGAATATTTTGTTAAAGAAATAAAGAAACCAGTTCATCTTAGTGACTTTGCGCAGATGGTAAGAAGTTGTTTTTATACTCGGGTTTTGGGGTAATTTCAATCAGAAGATTCCATGTACATAAATAGAAATTTCCTCATTTCAAAAAATCTTAAGCCGATTTGTCATCTCTTGTTTTTTTATTCAATAATTTTCATGCACTTGCTTATTAAGAATTTTTTTAATATTAAATTCGAACATGATAAGAGAACAATAACAAATAATACTATGAAGGATGAGAGTAAATACTTGTAAAATACTATTTTTAAAATGATTAAAGCTCATATTGGTAAAATTAATAATTTAACTTAGATTCAAGATTAACATGATCAATTGCTCTGAACCCTTACTACCGCTAAACATTATGATATATGTTTAAATCTTCAAAATAAATTATTTAAGGAAGCTCCCAGCATCTAGAAGTCAAATACTAAGCCAGACATAAGACACAATCATTAAAGCAATCTTAGCAGGATAGATCTAAGTTCATTTCAGCTTGTCCCTTAGTTCCTTTAAGTTGAATTTACCCTTTAATAATTATTGTATTAAAAATATATCTTGTTCATTTAGTTTAATGAGCACCAAAATTATCTCCGGATAATTCCAAACTCCACAATTAATATTAACAATTCATAACAAAAACTCATTTTAATACCAACCATTCTTCCCCAAAATTCATTTATTCCTTGACCATCATTTCCTTACCCAAATCCATTAACCATTAACTTGAAGAAAACGTTAAATAAGTCCCAGAATCATCTTCAACAATGTCAAGAGTCGACTCCATTGCACTTGGCGGCAGCTTTCACTGGCTCCATTTTCCAGTCCAGTGGAAAATCCGAGGAAAGCTCACGCGAAGCCGGGGAGCTTTGGCAGCACGGTTCGGCAAAGGTAAACGCTTCGGCGATGGTTCACAGTTCAGCTCGAGCAGCCGCCGCCGCAGCTTCGTCCGGGCGGAAGTTGGTTGGTGCAAGCGGAAACGGAAACGGAAGCGCAGGCGGAAGTGCAGAGAGTGCCGAGCGTCGCGTCGCTCCGTGCAAACTGTTGCGTTGCGTTGAGCCAGCCACCAAGCTGGTCGCCGTTGTCGTTGTCGGTGTTTGTTTTAGTGGCATTTAGTTGGCGGCGAACAATTAGCAAAGTTGCCATAGTAGACCGAATTATCCGACAAATTTAATGAAAATGGTAAACATTAAACATTGAAGGCGGCACGCGGAGTGAAAGTGTAAGTGAGAGTGTGTGCTGTGCGTGTGCTTTATCTGTGTGTGTGTGTGGCACTTTGTAAGCTGCGATTTGACATGTTGATTTATGCGCTGCTCTCACTTTGCCCCCAAACGGCAATTGCCACCCTCGTCGGCACCCCCGGGTTGGGATTACTCGGGTCCTGTGCCTGCACCTTCCCTGCCCTATCCCGACACTTGTTGCGCGCACAGGACATTCGCTTAATTGCTAATCCTCGCGCCCAGACGCGTCTAATTACACCTAAGTTTGCGCCGTTTCTCTCTCCTGCCAAAGGACATCATCACTTTGTCCACAGCCCCGGCGGGCATTTAAAGTGCAAATTGGTTGTTGGGCAGGAAAAGGACTGGCTTTGGGGTTTTGGGGGGTGTCCTGAAAAGCGGAGGTCACTTAATATGCCATCAACATGAGATTTGCACAAATGGGCGCCGGCCTCAAGAATTATGTGTTGCAATAAAATCGATGCGGCCGGAGGTGGGCGCCTCAAGTGGCGGCTAATGACCAACTTGCGACGTGACTTTGGCCAGGATTTGTAATTTGCGAACTGGCCGCCGCCCCCGCACACACACACACACACACACTTTGTATGTATGTGTCTTTGATCTTAAGTGTTTTATGGACTTTCCTTGTTTGCCCCGCACACACACACTCCACAGTTTATTTTTACAGGCAGCGTGTCTCTGTTGGTGTAACGAGAAAATGGAGAAAGGGAGCGGAAGAGTAGGGTCCATAAAGTAGCCCCCCAACTGCGAAGGATACATTAGGGGCTGGGTTAGTGGGCGGTGCTAAGTATGCGTTTAACGGGTGCGGGCTTAATTACAGGCAAAGTTTACCCAAAGGGTTGCCCCTGTCCGAGTTTCTCCAAAAAGGCATTGTGACTTATGACGGCGGCCTGCAACTTAATGACGGTCCGTGCAGGAAGAGTCATTACTCTCTCTGGCCGCGATGATGATGGCGGAGAAGCCCACGCAGACGGAAAACGGAAAGGGAAAGGAAGCTGAAGCAGAGGCAGAGGCAGAAGGGAAAACAGTGGGAAAAGCGGAAGCAAAGGGCGGAAAAGGTGCCAGATTGGAGCTCAAGTTGGGAATATATGCAAATGCAGGCCACCACATATCGTTCAGAGTCCATACATAACTTACCAGCCACAATCTGTTTAAAGTTGGGACAGGACACGACGAGGAGGCAGGAGAGGACGACGCAGGACAACCCATGACATTCCATCAATAATTCAATACCCAACGACGACAACGACTGATTGGGTTCGCATTTCGTTCATAATCCATAAATCTGTGGCAATTATTATCTTACACAAGCTTACCTTTTCTCCGGCCAGCAAAGAAAGACAATAAGCTGTCCAGGCTCACATCTCCCAGGACCCTTGACAGCTCCTCGTTGGCCTTTATGCATACACAAAACCGTAGCAAAACGAAAAAGGAAACCCAGCATTTGAATGCGTCCGAAATGGAACGTGGGGAGTGGGAATGCGAATGCGAATGGCTCGGATTTTCCTTATTGATTTGTTGTCTGCAGATTTTTGCAAAGCCAAAAGAGACAGAGAGAGAGAGAGAGGGGTATAGAGGCAGAGTGAGAGAGATAGGTGAGCCCTGGACTCTGAGCCACTTTCACATCAGCATTTTGTTATCAAACAGAGCCCCCAAAGTTCCCATTCCCACCATCGATACGTTGCGTTGGCAACACACCATTATATTACGTGAAAATGCAAAATACGGCAGAAAAAACCCAGAGAATTGGAAAGGGGATAGGGGAAATCCAGGTAAAATCAGGGAGAAATGCGGAAAATGGGAAATGCGAAACGAAAAGGTAGCAGCCGTGGCAGGAGAAACAACAAGTTGACAAACACTTGAATCAATCACTCGAATAATTGATGCCTTGTAAGTGGTATTTACGGAAAGATTCTCCCCAAGATTCGAGGGCTTAAATTGAAAACTTTTAAGCGGACAACTTGGGAGCTCATTAATATGCAAAAAAAGGAACTTTTGCCAAACTCAAACAATCAACAGTCGATGGGAAATTTATGAAAATTATGGAGATTTTTTCGGACAACAAGTTAAACAAAAGTTAATGCTGCTCTGGTTTTCAAGGGGAAACTTTAACTTTAACTAGGTTTTAATATTAATAACAAAGCTGTTTAGGCGATCTTGGTGAAAGCAAATTAGCTCTTAGGGATTTTACATTTGAAAGTTCTATTAAATTTCATTTCGAACTTTGTTAATAGAAAATATTCTTATATTCTTATTGGAACTTGAAGCATATTTTCAATAAACAATTCATTGTTTCTTTATTTAATTCTATTAACACAAACTTGTGACTAAATAAATCAACTTGTACAGTTCACTATCTATAGAAAACCAACCTAAACTCTAATGAATACATCCAAGTTCACAAATTAATGAGAACCCCAGTCGTAACATCAAATTATCGCAACATTTGTAGTCTGTAGTTCACGCAACAGTGACTCGCTTTCATTCGCATTTCACAAAATTCGACTGAAGGACATTCGACTGTATTAGGTTGCAGGACAACCACGAACAACTACGAAACAAACAGACAAATAATAGGAGCAACAGGTAACAGGTAAATGAGCAGGTATGCTGTTGCGGCCATTATTCCGCACTATTTGCTTTGCCGTATGGACACGTACTCGCATTCATGGATGTGCGTGGCTGTGCTCCGGCTATTTGTAACCGCCGTAGATACATACAAACGTAGATACGTAGATACGTAGATAGCCGTAGATAGATAATAATGGCCCAGGGGTCAGAGTCGCACATACGTGAGGCAGGGAGCACGCTGAGTGTGTGTTTGTGTGGAAACTTGAAGCGGCCACGTGTCCAGGGAAAACTAAACGGCATCCAACTGCTGCTGCTGCTGATGCTGCTGATGCTGCTGCTGCAATGGGAGGCAGGAACACATGCTCTTGGATATGCAACTCGGCACAGGGCACTTGCAGCAAACGCCTTTGGAGAGTTCAGCATCGTATAACTAAAGTGCCTTGCTAACATTTAAGACACTGAAAGAAAAATGCTTAACAAATGAAAATTCCATAATTGAAGGTGCTTAATACATCACTAGGATATTGCAATCCAATAAATGGTATCCAAAATAAAGCTAAATAAACCTAGTTCACAAAAAGGGTCTTCAGAACCTAAAGTATTGCATACTTTTGAATACAATTTTGACCCTTTGTTTTTCTTATTTGTTCATTGTAAAGAAATCTAACAATCATCCCAATAAAGTGTTCCTATAGCCTAAAACTGTGGGTTATATACTGTTGTAAATTACAGTTCAAATGAAGCCTAGTGATTTCTTAAATAATTCGGATACATATGTGCTATAGTAACTAAGAACTTTGAGTCTCTTAAAAAAGTTATAATCATGTGATACTTGACTACAAACTCTTTTGTTATAAATAGTTGCAACTTTACTAAATAAACTGCTACTTTTGTGGAAACAAAACTTTAGTAAAACAAATAACTATCTGTTTTAACTTCCTTGCACAATTCCTGCAATTGTTAATGCTGCTACTGTTAGCCAAGCGTCTGGAAAATCCCCTTGCAGCTCGATTAGACCCCCAGAAATGGCCAACACTTTGGTGTCTCTGGGTGTCTGGTGTCTGCGGCAATAATCAAGTTCGTGGCGGCCCAAATGTAGACAGCAGTTGGAGGCACAAACTCAGAGACTTCGACTGGCTGCAAGTCAAACTCCGGAGCTGGCAAATCCCATTAGGGAACTTTGTCCCCGCACCGAGCGAACGAAGTTTGCCGCAAGCCGATTGTTTGCAACTCGGGCGGCGGGTGAGGAAACTTTTGCATAAGTTGGCAAGAGAGTGGTGTGTGTGTGTGCGGGGGTGTGTGTTGAGGTGCTGACAGGGAGCAGAAAAGTGGGGAGGCAAAAGTGCGGTTGCGGGGGCGCTAATAGGGGCAGCCACTTAGAAAGAGAGAGAGGAAAAAGGGAGCGCACATTTAACAATAATTGCCTGGCCAAATAGAGCACTTTCCCCGGAGAATGACTTGCGGCCATGCTGGCCTCCATCCCCTTCCCCATCCCCATCCCCATCACCATCCTGGCCAGCCGCCTCCATTTGCGGTCGGACGTGGGCGTGGCCTGGCCTTTATGATGCCTGGTTTCTATTGCCCGCTTTTCATTATTTTGATTAAATACAGATAAAGCCATAAATTATGTTTACTTTGTGCCCATTTGGGCCGGGCTCTGCACGGTCAGGGGCGCACTTTGTATCCTCCAGATGGGTGTGTTGGTGTGGTGTGTGTGCGGGATGAGTAATGGCCCATGATATTTACACATGAGTTGGCCATCAGCGAGTCGTTCCCATCGCATCTTCCCATCTCATCATCTTTATTCAAGTCCAAGTGCACGGTGCAAAAAGAAGTCATAACTTTTTGCATTTATAAGGAAGAAGATGTCCGTCTCATTTCTCTGAATTTTTATAGAACTCATACAACTTTTATTTAGGAGATAAAATCTTAAACAAGACGAAGCACTAAAGTGCAAATATCAAGCATATTTACATTTTAAATCTAGAAATAATAAAACCATTTATTTTCTATTTCAAAGACACAATGAGAGCATCATCATAATTTTTCGTAGACAAAATTCTAGTTATACAAATATTTATATACCAAAAGAACACTTAAAATAACAAGCCACGTTTATCAACAGAAGCCCTGAAATGGCACAGCAACAGCGCAGCTGGGACGAGGGTGCAGTTGGCGGAGGAGGTGGTGGCTCCTATGGGCATCCCCACTCCTCGCACCACAAGGTTCCAGCGCGGGCCGCCAGCAATCCGTTGCCCTGCAAGGGAGCCACTCCCAAGCTGCCCAGGTAAGACATCAACAAGACATTATCCTCCATCAACTTTTCAGTTTCCCTGACACTCCCCGCCAGACAATACCACGGTGGTGGCAACTCCGGCTACAGCTACGGTGGCTACGAGACTCCACGGAGTCCCAAAATCACCACCACCTTTGCCAACGATAGCTGCGATGATGGCAGTAGCTCCACTCCGAGCTCCTACTATCAGACACCTTCATCCGGCTCCATAGACGACTCCGCCTCCCTGCTCAGTGGACGCACCACCGCCCGTAGTCCCAAGTCGCCCTGTCAATTCGTTTTCGATGCAGTGAGTCCTAGTCATGGGCGAAAGTTTGAGTACTACGAGCCCATCTCTCCAGACGACGGAGCCCTGTACTATGATCCTCCAAGTTCACCGCGTCGTCAGGGCTCCAAGAAACTAATGCGGGCCAAGACGCCGCTGGAACCGCTGCCCCAGCTGACCACCACCGGGGTGGACGAGGGCATGGCCATGGCCATGGCAATGGGAGGCTCAGGCGGAGCAGGCAGGGAGAACAAGCGGCAGCGGGACGAGTGGGAACTGCCGGTGATTAGCAAAATTGAGGCCCGTAACCTGAGTGCCGTTGCCTCCGGCTCAGGAGGAGCTGGCTCCTCTGGTGGCAACTACTATGGTCTGAAGAGGGATTCCTGCGTCACTGACTGCACCCAGTTGTCCATGGAATCCGGCGAGACGGGCACTCAGCACACGAACAGCACTATGGTGACACACACCACCACTAGCTTTAGCTTTACGGAGCCAGAGATGGACCCGCACCAGGAGGGATCCGCTGCCGGGAGGCCCCAATCGAATCGCCAGCGCCGGCATGCGATCAACATCACCTCGAATCCCGGTTACCAGGTGCTTCACAGCTCCCACTCCACTCTGGATCGTACCTGCTCCGATAGCGTGGTCTCTTTGCGTTATCGTAAGTCCACCAGTGACCTGACCCAGGATGCCGACCACGAGCTGAGCGGCTGCAAGCCGGCCAAGCCCAAGCGGGATCCTGCACACGTGGAGCACAAGCCGCGTCGCAGGGGCAGCTCCAAAGGTGGACTGGCCTACCTGGCCAGCAGGCGCAGCTCACGGGAATCCATGAAGAGCGCCTGCTCCAATGCCTCGATAGTGTCCAACGACGACGTGGGTCCTTTAGCCTTCCAGAGCTCCAACCGGGGCCGTCAGCGTCGGACCTCCAACTTTCTTGAGTTGCCAGGTGGGAAGATCACCCTTCCAGGTTAAGTAATAATTACTTACTCTCCAAATCGTTTATCCCCTCCAGTTCCCGACCATGTTAGACCCCGGGTCTGCTCCCTCCCAGAGCGTCCATACAATCCGCGGGCCAGCGATGACCTCTACCGCCTCCGGCACTTCTCCATCAGCAAGGGCAACGTGGTCAACTGCGGCGACTCCATCATCTCGAGGAGGTCTCGGAGCAACACCAGCGTAAACTCGACCAACAGTCGGGCCAGCGAACGGTCGCCCTTCGAGGGCAGCTGCTGTGGCGCCGGCTATGCCAACGTGGACTCCCTGCCGGCCTCACCGGATGACTCCGAGAACCTGGAGCCACCACCTCCGGCCAGATACCGAGTGGTGATGCTCGGCGATGCCGGCGTGGGCAAGACGGCGCTGGTCAACCAGTTCATGACCTCGGAATACATGCACACCTACGATGCCAGCCTGGGTAAGTAGTACTCCAAAATGTGTGCCCCAGTCCCCCAGATCCTACCAAAGACCTGGAGCAGCAGGGAACCAGGGAGCGCAGTGAGTAGTCATGACAACCCCTAGCTGGAACCTATGTGTGTGCCTGACCCCTAGCTTCCCGGCTGCCACTGGCGTCCTTAGAGTTTAATTCTGATCTGAGTTTTAGACGACGAGTTCGGCGAGAAGACGGTGAGCGTGCTCCTGGACGACGAGGAGTCGGAGATGGTCTTCATCGACCATCCCAGCGTCGAGATGAGCGTGGAGAACTCCCTGTCCACCTACGAGCCCCATGGCTGTGTCGTAGTCTTCTCGGTGGTGGATCGCAGCTCGTTCCGGGTGGCCGAGGAGATCATCAACTACCTGTGGCAGGAGAACTACACCAAGGACAAGGCCGTCATCCTGGTGGGCAACAAGGCGGACCTGGCCCGCGCTCGCCTCATCACCTCGCAGGGTAAGCACTGCCCATGGTGTCCTAATTATGATGGCTTGATTTCATTCCATTTCATTTCATTTCATTTCACTTCTCCCCTTCGATCCGAAGAGGGCAAAGCCCTGGCCGCCTCACGCGATGCCAAATTTATTGAGACGTCCAGCGGCATACAGCACAACGTCGATGAGCTGCTGGTGGGCATACTGAAGCAGGTGAGTTCGAGCTGGGGGCTCCGTTGTGGTTTCTAACAAGGTGCGAAGCACACGCAACCCACCGATGCATGGGTAAATTGTGCAGGAAATGGAGTTAAATGGATTTAACCAGACGGCTTGGGTTACCAGGCCATGTCTGGACTTGGGCTGGGCCTCTGCTTCCGGATCGGCTCACTAATTAATGAAAATTGTGCGGTTAGTGGGGCGAGCGGAAATTCGGTCAGCTAACCAGATTGGTTTCACCTGACCTGGGTATTATGAATATAATACCAAATGTTGGCAAACGTCTAGAACAAAGTGGCTACAAATGAGGCCAGAATACTTGAGTATTATTTAAAGCTGAAATTTCCGATTATACATATAATATAAATATAGAGAATTGCTACCTTCTCTCTTATCCTTAGATGCGCCTAAAGGAGAAGCGCGAGAAGAAGGCCACCGCTTCCAAGATGAAGACCTCGCGCACTCACATCTCCCTGCATTTGGCCAAGGAACTGCTGCAGAAAATCTGTCTCAGTGACATTTCCAAGTCCAAGAGCTGTGAGAATCTGCACGTGCTGTAAGGACAACCAACATGTGCTGCTCCCAGGTTCGTCCTCGCGGAATTCTATGTGTATGTGTGTGTGTGTACAAAGGAGAATTTTATCAAAAGAGCGGCTGGCTGCCTGGCAAAATATTCCAAATGCCATTCGACGGGGGCACAGATGTGTTCATCTCCGTTTATTAAAAGTTTAATGCCGGGTCGCAGTCGCAGTCTCTGTCTCAGTCTTGGTCTTGGTCTCGGCTTTTTCGGCAAGTCATTGGCTGTGGTCAGGCCTCCTCCTGCCCAGCGATAATCCGCTTGTTTATGGCGGATGTTTTGGAGTCTATGTGCTGGGATTATCATGACCAGACGAAGGCCGGACTGATAAGAGAGCCAACGAGGCGTGTGCAGCCTCCACCCCGAAAAAAAACAAAAAAAAACCAAAAAGATAGAAATGCTGAAAAAAAGGGGGCGGGGTTTTATTATTATTATTATTATTAAAACTATATATATATGTATATTTACATGTGTACTTGTATAGATGTGTTCCACTGAGAAAATAACTTCAATTCCAATAATGCGCTGTCAATTGATTTAAAAAGAAACAGAGAGAGAGACACTTAAGGTGCAACACAAGAGGAACTTTATAAATGTTAAATGAGGGGGACATTATGTACACGTAACCTATATCCGATAAGTGTGAGCTATCCGTAAGTTAGGTTTATATACATAAATATATGTATTTACGGTACCTTCGCCACCAGCTTCGCAAAGAAATGAAATGAAATTCTTCCAATTGACGTCTCATATCGGAATGACTGTTGAATGTTGACTGTTGTTAGTCTAAGCCAAGAACAAACTACCGTTTAATCAAAGTATCCAACTCAGAAGCTATATATTATATTAGATGTACCTATACAAACAGCTAGTCTATAACACAAAGTATATACATATATTAATGATTGTACTTGAATGGAACTTCTAACACTTCTAAACTCATACGCTTATATTTGAAAAATACCTTTTACAAAATGCGAGAGGCAAATGCGAAAGCAAACGAAACGAAAACTAACTCTAACTATTTTCATACGCAAACTTACACATTGGGGGGATGACGGAGATTGGGACTGAAGGCCTGCCAGGCGCTGCCAGGAGCTGCCAGGAGGAGGATGTGTGGCCACCGGCTCGTCCAAAGTCGAGCACTCGACAGCTGTGCACTCATGTTTGCTTTACCCTTTTCCTTCCGCTCCACGTGTCACGTCCTATTTCCAGCCCAGCCCCCAGCCCAGCCCCAAGCCCAGCCCCGAACGCAGCTCCCAACCCCCCTCCAGCCTGCGTCGAGTGCACTTTATCATTTTTAACATTTAGCAAACAAAACAGAGAAGCAAACTTGCTACGGCCAAAGTTTTAATTTGCAGCGCAGCATAAAAAACACAGAACAAAAAACCAAAAAAATGGCCAGGGGATTCGAGTATTTCCAGAGACCGTACATCGCGCATACGCCGCGTGTGACAAGGCCGAGGCTTGAATTTGATTCGCGCTAAACTTGATTTCCAAAATCGAATCACCAGCGAGCTGTAAACGCCCACCGAATTTATTGTGTAGAAGCCGTAAAAGAACACAAAACTAAACGAATGCTAAATGAATAACAATTGTTTCTGAATGGAATATTTATTGCAAAATTAAACTCGGCTTAAAGCATAACTTTAACTTGAAAGATATACCCAAATGCGTATGACATAAACATTATATATATATCTGTGTGTGTGTGTATGTGTGTGTAAAGATCAATGTTATATATATAATATATTTATATTTTTCCAAAGCCAAAAGCCTATACACGAAACTCTCTGTCTCGGAACAAAAAGCAAACTGAACCTTGTGCTGCATAGTTTAATCCACAATTGTACACTTTCGGCTTGTCACCGAGATGAGGCTGCAGAAAAAGCAAATTAATTAGAGTACACGGAGATAAAATCCGATTTCTCCTACAGTACATGTACCTAACATATACATATATAACACTCCCTGCCAATCCGAAATCCGTATCCTCCGTGTCATCCCCGCTGTCTCGATCCCACAAAAATCCGATAAATAAAGGACAAGGACGCTCTGTAACTGGGTAACTAACTTGTTTTTCTTCTCCTCTGGAAATCGATGCAGGGAATGAGCTGTGGGCTGTGGACTATGGACTATGGAGCTCCTGCAGCTGACTGACTCCGGGGGCCACAGCCAATGCCAACTCATCCGGATCTCAGCTGTTGCGCACTTGCGGTTCATTAGGGGCGCGGGAAATGTGTTAAGTGCCGGTTGTCAATCGCACCCGAAACTTGCTTTTGCCGGATTTCATGCTTCCGTGACACGAACACACTCTGGCGCAATATTGGTTTTCGACTCTGCGGCTTGTTGCTGCTGTTGGATTTTCGGGGGTTTCCCTCTGATTTTTCCGTTGAATCAATCGCCGGGCTTTTGGGCGGTCGTAATTAACTTACGCACCACCCAGCCAGATGAGAGATGAGCGGCTGAAAAGTTGACAATCCGGCTCTGATTGATGGCCAAGAGTCCTGGCATGGCAACCTCGATGCGAGATTTATCTGCCTTTCGCAATGCGGAGGAGAAGAAGTTGCCCGGGACCCGGACTCCCTTCCGCCACCTGCTGGGTCTCATAATTTTAATGAGCTTATTTTATTATATTTAACGCACCAAGGAGCGGCCGTTGCCGTTGCCGTTGCCGTTGCCTCCTCCTTGTTTATCCTGGAAATTGTTCCTTTTTGAGTTGTCGTTTTCGTTAATACGAGATTGCTCCTGCCCCGCTCGGCGTCCTTCTCTTCGGTGTCCTTTGTCGCTGTGGCTCGCCGGGCTCAGTGGCCAAATCAAACTAATTCCAAGTTCAATAAACAAGCGTAAATGAATATCCCGGCCCGGAGCCATTCCTTAATCAGCATCGCCCCCGTCATCATCATCAGCATCCTCGGAGGCGCTGTAAATTCTTATGAAAATAAGCAACGTTGGCTGCTTGGCATTCGAGGATAACCCAAGGATGCGAGGGTACAAGGTTCCTTCTCGCAATCGGAGAGTCGTAATCATAATCGAGTCACAGGAGAGTCGACAAAAATCGATTAAAAGCTTAAGCGCTATAACGCTTAAGCCAGGATATTCCGGCGGAGCTTAATGCCCGGCACACAATTAAAGTGAGGTCGAGGTGGATTAAGCAGCAAATGTATATTAAGCCAATTAGGTTTGTGGGCAGGTGAGGCACCAGGTGGGAATTATGGAATATCCTCCATTTGGACACCACTCCTCCTCGGCCTTTGTCATCCTGCGATTCCATCTCGAAGCTCGCATTGATTATATGGCACAGATAGGAAAGCAAGCGAAGGAAGGCCTTTCCAAACGGATTACTTTGTCCTTACCGGAAAAAAAGGGATCATAAGGGATGCCAAAACACACACAATTTTCTAGAGCTGGCCAGAAGCTGTTGGCCATCTGCTACGTGTGTGTTTGTGAGTGTGTCTAGTACTCGCAGCAAGGTACCTAAAAGAAAAATAAGGTAAAAATCGAGGCCACTCAGACGCACAAACAAACACAAACTCCCAGGTATTCTCGCATCGCTTCGGAGATGAAGAAATATTCACGCCGGCAGCCAACACTCTCGGGGGATTCATAACCAAATAAGCCGAATTTTTAAAGCATACTTCTCGGCGCTCCGGTTCATTTTCACCGCCGCGGCGGAGAGATGACGGAGAGGGAGAGGGAATTGGGATTCCCCGCAGCGGCGACCAAACTGAAAATTTACGAAAATGAAACTTTAAGCAATGTGGAAAATGAAATTTAAATAACGATTTATCGCCTTTGAAGTATGATTATTTGCACGGAGGGACGGAGGGCGATAAACAAACAGCCGACGACGCGACGAGTCACCAGAATGGATGGTCATGTGGACTAGGGAATGCCCTGACAAATATTGGTAAATTGATAAAAAGTAAGGTAAATGGTGATTTTCCGAAGGTTCATGTACTCTTTCTGCTATGAAAATATTGAATAGATTATAAAACTAATTGGTAATCTGAAGAAATGAAGAATAGTAAATGTGAGGGTAACGAAGTTATCAATATACTTTGTAGTTAAAGTAAGTATAAGTATTCAGTTTAATTTGTAGTTAAAGTAAGTAAAACTATTCAATTTAATTTGTAATTAAAGCAGTTAATCTTTAACTTTTAACATCTTATTTTCAATCATTTAAAAACTTTTTAAATACTTTATAAAGGATCTATTTGGGCAGACTTTTTGTTGCCAGCTTTTTGATAACATGTATTTTTGTACAATTTTTATATTATTAACAAGTACAATATTTAATTTCCAAATGAATATTTAATTTAAGAAGGTATCTTTATGCATATTGCCACTGCTAATTCTCATATTTCCAAATCTAAAACATGTTTAGAATACTTCCTGATCAAAATACAATATAAAAATATTTATGAAATACAAAAGAAGAGTGTGCATGCTTCTTACGCTGCTCAACAAATCCTTTTCATGTCCACCGAGTACCCAGTACCATAAGCGTAATGAAGAGCCGGGCATCTGGGATGGATTGAACGGATAGAGGTCGTCGTGGTCGTCTGCAGGATTCCTCCTGTCGCCACTCCCCCTTTCACCTGTCTCCCAGCACCTGCTCCACCTGTCCGCCGTCCGTGTGTGTGCGCCGGGTTATCAGAATCAAATGCCAGCGGCTGCTCTGCCCTGCCTCTGCCTCTGCCTCTGCTGTGTAGCATTTTCTACTCCTGTCGCTGTCAATTCATCGCATTGGCATGAAATTGCTTTTTGCGATGGCTGAGAGGCAACAGCAACAAGTTGCGCTGCCTGGACTAAGGACTTAGGACTCAGGACTACAGACCACGGCTGTATATATATGTATATATATAGTATGTCCCGGGTGTCTACACTGGGGCCTGCCTCGCTCCACAAAGGAAATGAGAAAAGGTTGGCGATGGCTTCCACTCGGCTGTTTGTTTGCCTGTTGATGTTTGTGGGCCTCGATATACTTGCAAATTTGCGCGGCGCAGGAAACAGGAAGTTGTCCGGGGTGGAGGGATTGGAGGTGCCTGCTGCTGGGTTTTGGAAAACGGGGAAGAAAAGCGGGTTTCGGGGCATTGTTTATTCTATGGCAGAGCAGGAGGCGGGAGGGCAGTAGGCCGCAAAAAGTCCTCGCAACCCGAAGGATACGATACGAAAATGCGTAAAGATTCGTTAGAATACGAGTGGGAGTGGCACTCGCGGCATGTAAATTACAAGCGGAATTTCGATTGTAGCCCACCACGACCTTCGGAAAGGGGGCAGCCGGCCAGGGGGTCGAAATTTAATGTGAAATGTGAAAGGACCACGACAAAATAATCTCTCAAATGTAAGAAAATTGTTTCGAGGCAAGCGGGGGAGCGTCGCCGCTAAATGCCAAAATGGCAATTTGCTAAAGTTTTCCCCAGAAACGAGCAAGACCAGAGACCGACCTCCAGACGGGGTGCTGCCAAAACAGGAGGGGGTTGGGGCTGGTATCCTTACTGAGAGGGGGGTCAGGCTGGCATAAAAGTCAAAGCTTGTCTGTTACACTCTCTATCTACTTGTGCACTTGGAAAATATTACAAGTATATATAGATAATACGGCTACACTACTACACACTTTTATTTTAATTTGTTGTGTACCAAAATACCTGAAACAAAAAGGTGAATTGAGTTCACGTAGCAGGTGTGGCATTGTAGTGTTTCTTTAATAAAATGATCGGAACTTATGATAATAAATTTATTATTTAATGGAAATACGATAGCATAAACTCTTGTGTTAATACAAATTATAAGTTTACTAGACTTTTCTTAAGAACATGACACTTTTCATGACTGTTAGTAAATGAAATTTCTTACGAGGAAGAACAAAATTGTATTGAATAATATAAAATATGTATTGTCTTAAGTAAATCCTATAAAACCCCATAATTCAAGATGTATAGGAAACAATATGTGTTGTATAATGCAACAGCTAAAGTCTTTCCACTTAAAACTTCTGCCAGCTAACCTTAAATAAATCTTCCTTTAAAAGTTAAGTTTTCTCGTACAAGAACACCTTGTAGAAACCCTTTATAATATGTATATCACTTTAACAGGACAGTTTTCCTAATAATTTTCCCCAGTGTCTGTAGCTCGTGTCACCGCCCGTTCTGAATGTTGAAACTCATCTGCTCAGCATCCTGCGAAGAAGGCACTTGTTGAGCGTTTTGCAAACGAACAGCAACAAGAACGTGTCAAAGAAATTGAAATTCAGTCAGTGTGTTAGTGCTCTGTGTGTTGTTTTTTCTTCGTCATGGTTTATTTGGGGGAGCCAGGTGGCAGGTGTACCAGCAAGCAAGCTTTTTGTCCGCTTTTTTCCGATGCCGACACACACTGACGCTGTCAGCTCCCCATGAAAAGAGGGAAAGCGGAAAACGCAGGCGACCTTTGGGCCAGGCCATGCCACCACCGGAGGGGGCAAACTCGGTTACGCAGACCGTGTGGCAGCCACATAATGCAGTCAGGACACGATTGGCAAACGCTCGGGGAGCAAAATAGAACTGGGTCCCGGTATACCGGTCCCTGCACCCAGTTTCCTCCTCACCACGACCTTGGGATCCGCATTGAACGACTCCATTTGTCCAGTGGTCCACAGTCGGACTTTGGCTTTGGCTTTGGCCTAGACTTTCGACCTTGCCCCCGCCGTCAAATGGGCTGTGAACCCACTTTGGCCTTCGCTGCTCCTTCGACTCCTCTGGCTCCTCTTGCTGCTCGTCCTGGATTCAGTGCCATAAAATGCAGGCAACTCTGTTGCAGCCGTCACGGACATTCGGTGGAGATCCTGTGGGCGATTCAACCACAAACTGGCCGCCAGTTTTGAGGACCACTACCGGTGACCGTCGAAAAGCCACCGCCACTGTGTTCGGACCAAGGGCAAGCATTAATTGTCGTCAGACGGACCATGAATTATGCAGGCACCAATTCACGTGGATTTTATATTTGCATTTTCAACCAGCCTGCGCTGTGTTGACAGTGGCGATATGGGAATTTTCGCGTTTGCATTTAATTTTCCACCAGATTACGTTGACAGTTGCCCACGGCCTGATTTTCGTCATTGTTCGATGGCGGAAGCCCCGAGAGAATCGTCCTGCCGCCTCCGGGTCCGGCGTTTGCATAATGAGTGGTGGGCTATGCCACGGCCGGAAAAGTTCCTGATTCGTATGAAGGGATTATGCGATGGATCCGGCATTCAAATTATAAATTATATTGCGACATAATTATCAGACGATTAAGGTGCGGGGCAAGAGCACTTGATGACACACCATTAAGCGGGTAATAGAATTTTCATTAAAATTAATGCAAATTGCTAAATGTTAAAAATGAAATTTTATCACAATCGAAGTGGTGGGGAATGGATTCTAAAAAAAAAGGATAGCAATTCGTTTTATATATTAAATTTAAGGTATAAAAAAGCATTGTTTATCACCCGGCACAATCTACTTTAATTATCGATTCTAGGATCTAAATAAATAAAAAATATATACAGAAACTTAGTAACGGTAATCTATTTAAATTTAAATATTTTATATTTTTCATTTTTAAAATTTATTTTAGAATTTACATTAAGCTTTAAGTATTTTCTCTCTCTAGAACTCGCATGCGTTTGTATACAATTCTAACTATAATCAATCAGAGTTTAAATATATATATAAATAAATTTGATTTGATTGCTTTAAAATCTATAGAAAAATGTACAGAATAAATATATATAATTCAAGGTCATATTTTTATTGCATTCTTTTGAGCTGAAATACGAGCTATTTTTAGTTGCATACTTTCGAGCGGATGCCTTATAACAGTTGTAACCCACCATAATTATAAACTGGCATATGTAATTTATAGCAGCCCGAAAAAGCTTGATGAAAGTCCTGAATTATTACTGAAAAAGCTTTTGGTTTCCAAATTATCCTAAAGCTCTACTTTCCATGGGAAAATAAAAGCTTTTCAATGGATAAAATAGGTGGAAAGTCAAACATTTCTTCATCCTTATCGAAGTGTTATCGTATTAATCGATGTCACCCCTAGCTAAATTTAAAAAGTTTATTACTCAAATATAGTTATTCTTAGGTAATTTTATTATCAGTTCTCAATCATTAGCAATTTCATTCCTCCTAATTGAAATGTTATTGCTTCTATTAATGTTCTCCATTTACGATTAGGCGCTTATTAATCAAATATTTATTAATCATTTCAGCTTTTGTTGGGGAAATCCAAGCTTTTATTTTTCTCTTTCAAAACGTTATCGGTTTAATATACGTTATCCGTTCATCAATTAAACCAATATATTTTTATAAATAAAATTTATAGCTTTAATATATAAAGCTTATACTTTCTTTTTAACTTCCCACCACTATCAACAAAAAAAAACACTCTTTTAACAATATTCAAAGTGATTACAAATTTTATTAAATGACTCTGCGGTTATGCAACTAGGTTCTAAACATAAAACAGTCGACTAAATGTAGTATCTAAGATTAGCATTGCATACAAAGTGTGTGTAAATAGTACAGACACTTAGAACTATGTACAAATTACAAAGGAATTGTGTTTATGGCAAAAAGGGGAAGGGAGAAGTCGCTTGAAGGACTCCTCATCCTACTTGTTGAAGTTCTCGATCTGCTGAAGGACCCAGCTGCGGGAGGCGGACTGGCAGACGATGACACCACCTCCCGCTCCGAGACGCAGCTGATCCTTGGGGGGCTTTGGGGCAATCTGTGGGGGCTGATGTTGAGAGTGGGAGGAGTGCGGACGTGGTCCCAGGGGAGGCGGCGGCGGCGGTGGACTGGTGGGACGCCGCGGATGTAGCTCATAGTCCCCGGGACGCTTGTCATTGTTGTCATCGCTGTAAATGGCCGAGTCCCGGAAGTCGTTCTCCAGACTGTCCTCCACCTGCTGCTCGTACTCAAAGCTACCGGAAGAAGCTGGAGTCTGCTCCGCGCCCGAACGCTGCTTGCGCTGCTGCTCGCACATGCTGTCACTGGAGGAGGAGGTCAGCGAGAAGACCGAGTCACGTTCCGAGTGGTTCAGGAGTGGAGCCAGGCCAAAGAGGGTCTTGGGATCGGCATAGTCCACGTGGGCCATGCGCTCACCCACCGCCTCGCTGCCCTGGCGATGGAGCACGCTCTGGCGGCACATCTCACTCACGTCGGACACACGACGCTCCGGCGGACGATTGGAGCGACCGAAGGCCATGGTCAGGTTGTCAATGGACTTCAGGGCACGCGGCAGCAACGAGCTCTCCGAACCCGAGCCGGAGACCAGGCTCTTGGGCACCGCTTCCATGGAGAGGTTGATCACCGTGCTCTGGCTGTCGCGCTTAAGCGTGGAGCCGGACCCATGGGAAGAGCTCGAAGTGGACGTGGAGGAGGAACTGCAGCTGTCCCGCTGCACCGTCTCCTCGCCCACGCGCTGCAGCACTCCGTCCGGCGAGTAGACCAGCGTAACGTAGTCCGACTCCGGTCGCGGAGCCGGCGGAGCTGTCTTCGAGCGCTTCTTCAGCAGCTGGGCCGACTTGGCGCGTCCCATGACGGGAGAGAACTTGTAGGGGACGTGGACGTTGCGCAGCAGGGTCTCATAGATAGGCTCCTCGCTTCGCCCAGCATCGACGGCGTCTGCCTTGGCCTGCTTCAGCTGCTCCTCCAGTTCTAGGGGGGCGGGGATCTCGAAGGCGGTCGTGGTGGCGGCTGAAAGGGACCCCGATTTATGTCCTGGACGGGACTCACAGGACTCTCGCGTCGTTTCTGCTGCTTGTTGTACATCCTCTCGAACTCCTTGGTATTCTTAAGCAAGTCCAGTACGATTTGGGCGTCTCGCTTCGACTTCTCCGCCGGCGAGAGCAGCTCCGTCTCCGCCTGGTCCCTGGCTCCGTAATACTGATCCGACGAGGATTCGTCCAAGGTGGCTGCTTCCTGGGCTAACTCAATTTCCTTTTCCGGACGCAACTCCTCCGTGGACTCGGTTATCTTGAGCACTGTGGCACTACTGCTGTCGAACTCGCTGAGATCCATGTAGAACTTGGAGCAGCTCTTGGTGCTGCTCCGCTGCTTCTTCATGGTGGCGATCCTCTTGGGCATTGTCTTGTGATTGTATTGTCGCACCTCGAAGAAACCCTTGCCCTTGGCCTTGCGCTCGCTGAGATCGGGCTTGCTGCCCCTCAAGGAGGCGGCGCTGTCCTCGTCCTGTTCTCGTTCCCGCTCCGCCTCCTCGTCGAGACTGAAGCCTCCGATCCGGGGCACCGACTTGCTGCGCTCCTTGAGGGCTTTGTAGCTGAAGACTGGAGACTGTGACTTGGTGCTCCGACTGCGCTGATCCCGCAGGGTACAGGTGCAAGGATCTGGCTGATCCTGCTCCGGTTTTGACTCCTGGCTGCACTTGCAGGCGGCTTCCTTGGGCGGAGACTTGGTCTCCTCCTTGACGGAGGTATCTCGCTTGCGGTACCTCATGGCAGCGGCCAGCTTCTGCAAGGCCGTGTCATCCAGACTGTTGTTCCTTGACAGAGGCTTCGATGGCTTCTCCTGGCTGGGCTCTTCCGGCTCCGCCTCCAAGGACTCGTTGAAGCTGTCGAAGGAGCTGGAGTTGGTCACCGTCTTCCGTTTGAACTTGGAGTTCCGCTGCCGGATCTCGCTGCGCCGACACGCATTGCGCCGCTCCAGGTAGGTGGGCGTGGAGTTGCTGCCCGAGTGGAGGCTCCACTTCCAGGTGCTGCGATCCGGAGTCCGATCTGGGATTGGGTAAGGAGGATTAGTCGAAGGCTGCAGCTGTGCTTCCCAAGAACAATGATAAGCGGCGGAGGTGAGTGACATGAGGGGAGGCAGGAGGTGGGCGATAAACAAACACCAGTGAGGATGCATTCTAACTAAGGATCATGCGCTCGAACGGGTTAGTGGGTAACCTTTAAAGTTAGTCACCGGTTAGTGGGTTAGTTCGTTCTCAGTTCGATTATGGGGGACTTATTTATCGAGAATAGGGATAATGCATGCAAACAAACACAGAGCCCGATCGAGTTAAGGAGGCCAATTACAGCTAACAATCCAGATACAAGTACGCTATACTTACTAGGCTCTTCGGACACCAGAGTTACGTTACGCTAACGAGAGTACTACGATTACGATTAGGATGTTTACAGTTAGATGTACTTGGTTGGGGGTTTACAGTTGTCTACAGCCCTTAGTTTCTGTCTGATCGGTTTGGATTTATTATATAACATGGTATATGTATATATATTTTTTTGGTTGGTAATTTGATATCGGTCTCAGTCTCTGGTTGTGTGTGGGGTTTAGCCTTAGAACGAACGCCTTAAACACTAGTCAAAGTTTTTTCGTTTCTTTGTTTTGGGGTGTTTAGTTTTAGAATGCATCACTGGTAGTACTACAACGGTAAACATATAGCAATTCATAGAGTAGAGTTAGATCAAATTGGCAGTTTACACAGATCATTAAAAATTAGTACTAGCCTAGGACACCACCTAAGCGCCGAGGAGGAGGACCGCTTAAAGAAACCCCCAACGATTCGGATATTTTGCACAGATATATATATGTACAAATATATTTATATAGATATATGGTAACACCAGGTTCGCAATTAAAATTTCGCCTACATTGGGTCCAAGTAATAAATCAAATCCCGGCCGACGAGGCGTCGACAGATTTGGCACGATTTTGGCGAAAGACTGGCTGGAGTCGCCACTTGGTTATGTCACTTCACCGCAGTCGCCGCAGCTGGAGCGTGCGAATCATAAGTACACTGAGAGAAAAGTGGCTCTTACTCCCAATCGGAATAAGTTGGGAGTAAGGAGAACCATCGTGCACAGAGAGAAAATGAGCAAAAAGTTAAATAGGTAAGGCATACTCTCTGGAGTTAAGCTCTTTTCATTTAAATTTTCAGTTTTTCAATTAGAAATCTTAGAATGTACAGCTATATTGATATTTTAATTTATCAAAATTCTGATATATTTTAACGTTTAACGTTTTTGCTAAATATATCAAACTGTATAAGCATAATCTACGATAATATATGATCATTTTGATGTGATATTAAACGGGATATGTTTTTCAATATATGATACTACCCTTTTCTTTAAGGGTATTTACATTTCTAAATCGTAATAGTATTTAAAAGGTTTTCAAGCCCAAGATCAGTTGTTATAATTATTATATTATAATGAAAAGTCTCAAGATGGTAGTCTCAATCGCCTGTTTCTCTAATCAACACGTCTCTTTAAAATCTACATTATACATATATTAATTCTAGTTCAATGGCAAATGCTATATGGACCCTTAGAAGCCCTCTTTAAAGCCATTTCTCTCTCTGTGACTTTCCTTCCGCCGACGACGACGACGACAGGTCGACAGGCATTACCCAACTATAACAAGTACCCGCATGTGCATAACTGTGGGCACTTCATCATCTCGTGCAGTCCCCAATCCGAATCGTTAAGTGTTTTCTTTTTTGGCCACATGACAAACATAACAGCAACAGGAAAAACAAAAACAAAAACTAAAACACAACAAAAAAAGAGTAAAACAAAAACTTAAACCCTAGAGCTAAGCCAAGTTATAACAGGCAATCCAGGCGGGGAGCGCTCACCTTCCTCGTTGCCCAGCTGGTAGACCAGCTCCTTGGCGCGCATGGGAATGTCGAGCTTCTCCAGCATGACACCTTTGATGTGCTGCGTCCAGATGCGCTTCTGGTCACGATTCCGGGCCGTCAGCTTGATCTGATGCCGGGGCTCGTCGAAGGGAATCACGTAGAAGCTGGTCGGCTCCCCGGGCAGGTGTTCGCTCAGCATCAGGTTGTTTTGCTGTCGATTGATCGGGGATTAGGATTGGACTCGAGAGGATGATATACGTATATATACTCACCGATATGTAGGTCTTGAACTGCAGGCGTCCGTCCTCCTTCTGCTTGGTAATGATCAGCATCGTGGCAAAGAGGAGCACCAGGCGGGGCTTGTTGTGCTGCTCCATCAGCAGGCCCTCCTGTCGCAGTTCACCCAGGACAGTTAGCTCTGGAATGGGACATGGTTACGTATGATCCCTTCTAGCATTTCCCATAACTGCTCACCTGGTCCCAGCCAGCCGTCCAGTATCCCCGACAGCTCCTTGACGCGACTCTGTTGCTCCTGCTTGCGCTTCACCTGGTCGATGTTGTGCGCCACCTGGCGCATGATCACGTGGGCCTCGGCCACCTCCTTCAAGTCGCAGTGCTTGCGGAGACTCTGCAAGGAGGAGAAGAGGAAGTGGAAAGTCATGTAGCTGGCAGTCACTCGTCACCCACTTTCCCCTCACTTACGTCCAACAGCAGATGGTACTTGAGGATGCGCTGCACTGGCTTCAGCAGGTAGGAGCCCAGGGGCAGCCGGTGCTGGAGTCCCTTCTGCGTGGAGGCCAGCAGTGTGTAGGTGTAGGTGGCCTGGAGCAGCTTGGTCAGCAGCGAGATGGCCTGCGGGTAGCTTGTGCTGCGGAAAGGAGAAGAAGAGTGGATTTATGACACATGCGACATGGGCTTTTAGGTCTTCATCATCGAGCGAAGCATTAAATCTGAATTTCAAATGGGATTCGGGGGAGTCAGGAAGTCAGAGGCAGCGCATGATGTATGCCAACGTGTCATTGGGGGCGACAAATCAAACTTTGGCCATCGGACCAAGCTCTCCAAATTGGCATCGCGGCCAGGTAAACGTCAGCGTTTAAATGGAACATGGCGTGCCTGGATTGCCAAGAGACGCCATCGCCATCGCCATCGCCATAGCCATCGTCTTGGCCATCGTTTCGTGTCATGCTGCTAGCTAGAGCTTGGCCTATCGAGATCGTTTTTGGCCTGGTCGTTACCGTTCTTGGCTAAAGTCTCAGAAACAGTATCGAAGATGGAGCGAACACGCCATGCGGCGATGGTCAGCGATGGTTGCAATGTTTTTTATATTTTTTAGCTCCCCTGAAACCAGGAACAACCAGGTCGCTGCGGGAGTTTGCCTCATAATTAGGTTGATGTGTGAACAAGCGTCAGGATTAGGCATTATTATATATAATTATAGGAGAGTACCAGTATTTATTATTAAAAATAGATACTTTTATGAAACTCTGTGATATATAATTATATATGAATGTAAGAATAGCAAATATGTGGATAAAAGTCAGCAGTCTTGTGGTAAATTTCGCAGAACCTATTTGTACGTTAATGTTAGTCAAAAGAGCCTTTAAAGCCAGGAATCTCCTAAAGCGTATCTAGAGTTGTAATTTCCATATTCTTTTTATTAAATTACTTTAAACAAATATGTAAAGTGAAACTAGTTCAAGATTAAGTATAAATAAAATAACCTCCAAGTTAATGTAAAATATAACTAATGACTGAACTTGGTATGTGAGCGATAAGCTTTAAATGAGTAATTTTTTTAAGGTTCTGCCTGATAAGACCCAAGCTTCCAAGGTACGTTTACTGATAAGATTCAGCAAAGCGGCTTGGAGAGTATTTAGGGATTTCCCCCAAATTTTTCATGAGTCACTTGCCCACTCCTTCTATGCAGATACTCACCAATAGGTTGTGTACACATCAAAGCCATCGCGCAGGTCAATGAAGCATCTGGCAATCCGGCCGGGCTCCAATCCCGTGTTGACCAGTCGCTGGAGCAGCATCGAGTTGAATTCGTAAATCTCTTCAATGTTCGCGAAGAGTATTTGCAATTCGTCCACGCGCAGGCAGGCGCGCTCCTTCCAGTCGTTGAGGTACCTTTGAAATCCCAAGGATATGCATATTAGTTAGGGATACTCTCTGGATGTAAAATTTATAGATAAAGCTCACCCCTTGATGACCTGACCCAGGTCCTCGACGAAGCTGCGCTCCGAGTCCACAATCTCCAGGCAGGTCTTCTCCAGGACACTCATGGCGGGCGGATGATGGTGCGGATGGTGATGGTGCGAGTCCCCCAGATCGTTCTCGCTCTCCGCCAGACTCTCCACGCTGGCCAAGTACGAGGTGGCCGTGAGCTTGCCATTGAGCAGCTGATCGGAGCCGGAACTAGAACTGGAGGATGTTGAGCAGATGGAAGAGGAGGATAGCGGCCGGTTGTTCAGTCGAGCCAGCTCACTTAGTCGGGCGGCAAACTTGGGCTTAATGTCGGTCAGCCTGTCCAGACTCTCCGCCGACAGCTTGTTGGCCTCCTCCAGCTCGGCCAGCTGCTCGGCGGTGGGCAGCTTCAAAGGCACGCCGCCGCCCAAGGTGCTGGCCTTGGCACCCAGACTCTTGGTGCGGGCATAGGTCAGCAAGGGTGAGCTGGAGATCGTGGAGGCGCAGGCAGCGGAACTGCTCCTGACCAGCGGCTTGCTCACCAGCGGCTTGTTCACCGCCTCTACGAGCTCCTCGCCAGGTCCGTCCATTGCCCAAGGATCGGCCAGAGTCAGGCGCTCGATGTGCTGCGCCACCAGATCAAAGTTGATGGTGTCCACTATATCCACCGGACTCAGTGGTTCGCTGCATACGAATTCCTTGGGCTTGGGACTGGGCTTTTGGTTGTGATTGGGAGTGGGTGTAGTTGGAGTTCCGGGCATTCCAGGCGTTCCTGGTTTCGCCTGCTGCAACTGCACACTGGTGGCCGCCAGCTGCTCCATCTCGATCAGCTTGATGCTTTGCTGGGAGTCGTACCGCGGTAGGGTCAGTTTGCGCGTCGCCTGGAACGGATGTCCATCGAAGTGGAAAGGCGTTCCTGGCACAGATTTATTCGTCGGCGTCCGATCCTCGTCCTTGTCTGCTCCTGGTTTCAGTTTCTCTGCGGCCGCAAAGTTCAGTGATTGCAGGTACTCCGTGCTGGAGTCAAAGGTGGCCACCAGTTCGCTTCCCGACTGCGTGGACAACTTGCCGGTAATCTTGGACAGCGGTATGTGCGAGAGCTTGAGCTTGGGCGTGGAACCGGCGCCCTGTACCGGTGATGATCCACTGCTGTGGGTCTTGATGTACCGTCCCTGGGTGGGACTCCTCTGGTTCTGTTGCTGCTGCTGCTGCAGTGCCTCGATGGACACCGCCTCAACGGGCTGAATGTCCGAGTGCGTGATGATCCGGTGAACGTTGGGGGACAGAATGCGAATGTTGCTGCCCCGTCGACTGCCGCTGGAGGCGAGGCTGCCGCTGCTGCCGTGGATGCCGCTCTGGCTCTGGTTCCGCTGCACCACCAGCCGGCTCAACTGTGCGCCGTCGGGCTCATCGCGCAGACCCGCTACCACCAATGGCAGCGGTGGCAGTGGCCCCGGGTGGCTCGACCGGGAGCTGGACTTGGCTAGCGTGTAGCTGGCGCTCTGGTCATCGCTGGTGGAGACACTCGCAGCGGAGGAGGAGGAGTTGGAGGAGGTGTCACTGGTGCTGCTGCAGTTGCTGTTGCTCCGCTTGGGCGTCGAGTCCCCGCTGCTGGAGGCCTTCGCTTCGTGGGTTGTCGCCGACGAGGAGGATGTCGTGGGCCCAGCGCTCAGGCTGTTCGTCAAGGTGTCGTAGATGCCCAGCAGCGAAGGTGCCAACTCTGTGGTGCTGCCTGTAAACGTAAGAGAATGTACTTTAGTTGTATTTCTTACATACCTTAAGTAGTTTCAATTAATTTATTTTATGAAAAGGAACCATGGAGTGATGACTAATTTGGTTAAAGTATTTTCAAAGCGCGTGTCCCGTGGGCGTTGCATTCCCATTCCCAGTCCCAAACACATTCAATACCCCAGCGATCCATATCGATCGATGGAGGTGCTGCCATGTTGATGGCCACGCAACACACGCGCTCGTAATCCTCCGATATTTGCCATAATTTTGTTGCATAAAATGATTTATGCCGGGGCCAAACAACAACGCCAGACGGAGGACGGAGGACGGAGGACGGAGGACGGAGGACAGCGCTGATGTATTGAGTTGTTTAGCCGCAGGATGCATGGCCAACGAGCCGCGGTCAGAACGTGGCCATCAGTCAGTGCAGTGCTAGTAGTTTTCTGGCCCGGCTTCGGGTTGCTCTCGGCATCGCAATCGGAGTCGCAGTCAAAGTCTAAGTCGGCGTCGGAGTCGGAGTCGGAGTTGGTAACTCGGCCTGGTCGGCCGCATAAATAAGTAGGTTGCTGCTGTTCGCCTGCCTGGCGGCCTGACATGTGAATTGATATGCCAACGCAACATGGCACAAACCACAACGCGCAGCAGCAACATGGCAACAGGCAACAGGCAACAGGCAACAGGCAACACCAACACCAACATGACCAGCCTGGCAAGATCGACAAAAGACGCAGAACATCGACCCAACCGACTCAACGGCAATTGGCATGGACATGGACATTCCCCAAGCCGCAGAGCCAGAGCAGCCTGCTGCTCATCATCTCTCACAAACGGTTCAATTAATCAATAGCTCTCGCAACTGCGGATTTAATAACATTATCGAGACAGGGAGACTTGATCTATAAATTATAGATCGCGTCACTCAATAGTCAATAGTGCATGCTGGCCACTTTTAATGATTGCTCTTTGTTCCACACATGGAAAAAACGAGATCGAATTGCGAAGTTAATCCTAGCTTAGCTCATTAAATAGGAAAATTGATAGGTACACATGGTAATATGTAGAGAAATGTTAAAAAATATACTGATGAAGGTCATTGGTTTTTTTCGAAACAAGATCTGTGTTAATTCTTAATCAAAAAATGCAATTTTAACATTAATTTTGCAATTTAAACATTAAGGCAACATTTTGAGGCAGAATAAGAAATGAATTTTTAAAAGAATTTTTATTATATTTTCATGTTTTTTAAATGAAAAATTTAAGACACTTCAACTCTCTTTCTTTCTCTACTTTTACGCCCAACACAAAGACCCTAAAATTGCACTTATCGTCAATATCGTAAATTCTATAAATAAAATACCAGGCAGGAGATTTCATTTGCATTCTGCATTCTCCCATTTCAGCATCTGCATCTTCGAGTGCGAATGCTCATGCTAATGCCTCCTCCCGCAACCACCCCTCTCCCTTGTGGCAACTTCATTAAGGCCACAGTTTATGCGATTATCGCTTAGCACATTTGGCTAACAACATAACAGCCCATACATCTCACTTCCCGCTGGCGAGGCTGAGCAAATCAGGCAATTAACTTTTTCAAGACAAAACTGCGGCCCACGTTCGCCGGCTACCGGGTTGAATCGTTGGACCTGGAAGCTGGGAGCTGGGAGCTGGGAGCCGGGAGCTGGTTTTCAGCTATTCGAATTCTGCCATGAGCCATGAGCCATGTGCATCCTCTCATTCACGGTAGCCGACGGGCCACTTTTTCCCCTAATTGCGAATGGTGTCAATGTGGCCTGGAGTTTGGATCTCGCTGTTTGCTGTTTGGAACATGCTGAACGATGCAACATGTTGGGCAACATTTTGCCAAGCCACGAACAACAATTAGTTTGCATGAGTGCTGCCACGCCCACCGCCTTTTCGGGGAGACTGACGACAAGTCGTAAACATGATTTGTACATTTAATTTTCCATCATTCTGTCTGATTATTTAGCGTGGGCAGAGAGCGATACTCCACCGGAATGGCCAATAGACAGTTTGGATGCATGGATGCTATATATGTAGCTTTTCCTATTGCCAGATACTAGCCGTCATCCTGCAGGCTGACCCAGTTTGACGGCGAAGCGTTTTGCTTAATTGCCAAAACGTGGGCCGTGCCGACAGGTTCCCCAATGGGTAACCATACAGAGAGCGAAAACATGGGTGATATAAAAGATAAATCAGAGAAATTTAGCTAGGAATTGGTTATCTGACTTTGTACTTAAAACTGAATTAAAAGTAAGTAAATTTATATTGGATTTGGTACCCAAAATACGTCACTTTTAGATACACTTTTTTAAGTGTTCAATAGTGGTTTCTGAAGCATCTTTTTGAGTCCAACAGAACCCCTCTTTAATTCTAATTAAACTTTAATTAATTTAATTAATTATCTTTTATTATCTATACACTTTCCTTACAATATTCAAAACTTCAAGTGACAACTTTTTCGCTGTGCCTGCAATGTTGGCTATAATCACTGCCACTTGCCGGAGAGCATTTAATTAAAAGCCAACAGCTGTGGCCGTTCCAAAACTATTTATGGCATAATTCCGCCGAGACCTGGGAAACTGTTGGCCCAGACCTGGCCATAATCTGGTATCTGAAATCTGGAATCTGGCCGGCAATCTCCGGCAACCGGAGTGCTCAAACAAATTCTGCCCCACAGACGCCTGTCCAAAACGGCGAAACAATGCAAAGTGAGCTCTCTGTCATTTTGCCATTTGCAATTTGCAATTTGTTCATTTTTTTATTTTTCTTGCAATTGGAGTAGCCTGCTCACGGCCAGAAAGGGTGTCAGGGCCAGAATGTGGATGTGGATATTGTCGTGGATGTGGAGGAGAAGGAGACCCTAGACCCCAGACCCGAGATCCGAGATCCGAGATCCGAGATCCGAGATCCGAGACTCGAGACCCGTGTGTTGGTTTCATTTTCCACCAGACCCATTCCAAAATCCAAATCCCTTTAATGCCCCGGCGACAAAGTGTCTTATGGCAGCCGGCCATTCCGAGTCGGTCGTAATTTCCAGCAGCGGCTTCAGGTGTCCACTCCCCGGCGAGTGACTCGCCTCACCTCGGCCCGCCTCACCTGGGACAAGCTCCCAAAGCCGGCAATTTATGGCGGGCCTGACACAATTTCATAAGGCTCCCCCCTGGTTACTGGCCAAAAGATTACGCGATTGTGGCTAAAAATAGTCGCAGCTAAAGGTCATCCTCGAGAGCCTCGAAGATGCAGCTGCTCTCTTGACGGATTTGCAATTTACGTGCAAGTCGCTCACTGAATTATTCGACGCAAGGGAAAGTGCTGTCATCTGCTGGATGCGTATCTGAATCTGAAGCCGAATCGGAATCCAAATCGAATGCGACGGATGCCGAGCGGAGACACCTTATTTATGCGCGGCCAGCTGTTGAGAGCATTAAATTAATGCGCTTAGTCGCCGCCATCGATGGATGGCCCAGGTCCGCGTCTGGCAATTGATATTTTAATCGGCATTTCATTTTGCCTCGGCCCCGACTTGGCTTGGCGCCATGGTTAGTCTGGTGTTTAGGGAGCCGTTACAGGGAGAGAAATATTTAAATGTTTCATGGAGTCGAGCTTAAGCGGAGGAGAAGAAAACTGTGGGTTTCCCTGATTCCCTGAAGCCGATTCAATTTCAGGGCTAGGAATAGCTATTCAAAAGAAAACTCACAGTGGTGACATCGATAAAAATATCATTCTTAATATCCTATCGAAAATATCGTAATTTACTGAATCTAGAAACATTAAAAATATATCGCAGATATTATCAGGAAAATTACGGAACATTTTAATCCGAATCACTTAGTCATCTTTACACTGTACTGTAAATAAATTTATAAAAAATTAAACCGATATATTACAAATAATATCGATTTATCGAAACGGTAAATTATCTATTTATATATCGACCAAGGATTTCTCAATCGATTTAGTAGTGTGTTATTGATATTTTGTGTCGTATCTCATCATAAGTACCACAAAAATTGTTAGATATGTTTTGAGATCTCTTAATATCTCTTTTAATATATATAAAGCTACCTTAACTTATCCCTTAATATTTAATTTTAAGAAACACTACGTTTCTTGCTGTGCACACCTTATCAACCAAGACTAATAACCGTGCCCCATACGTGTCCCCATGGGTCTTGGCTTATGGGCACGCATTTTGCAACTACCAATTAAAATGTTATTCAATGCGTCGCCGTTGAACGCGACTTAAAAACACATTTCCCTCGATAAGACGACAACCTGGAACAGGGCTCTTAACTCAAACGATATTACCATAAACAGAAGCCAACACAGAAACAGAAACTGAGCCGAAAGGCAAACGGAAATGGAATCCGCAGGCAAAGGTTGGCAAGAGTGTTGTGTAGGGAAAACATGTGTGGGGAGAAAACTACGTGGAAATTGCAAAGGAAATGGCCCATATGTTTTAGCAAAAATAGGAAAACTCCAAGCATAGTAATAAAATGGGGAATTTTCCACATTTACTACGAGATGGGAATGTTTTTAGAAATTCTATAAGCAATTTTATTTTATTATTTGTTTGAGAATTCAAAGTAAGAGATACTTTTATTCACTCACATAATCTAGAAATTATTTATTTTTGTATAGCTTCAAATTAAATTTTAAGTTTGTAGAACAAAACCCAGTCTTGCTTGACAATTAAAATTAAGCCTCCTCCCAGAAGCCAATTACATCTGATGTTCCTTAAGATCCATTGATGATTTCTTGAGGATTAAAGATCGTTTCCGCTTTCCTCCAGCAACCCAATGGAAATTCTTTTGAAATTGAGCGAATCTTGCAGACGCATAAGCATAAAAATTCCTCAAGATCTCGCTCCCTCACCGAGGGCAATGGATTTGGTTTTTATTTTTAGCCTCTTGCTGGATATCCAATGGATCCACTTAAACGATGGATGCTTTAGCTGCAAGCTGCGAGCTGCTCATCCAGGCC